AGCATGTAGCAGCGAGCAAATGATATCATTTTGTGTTTGGTGGTATCATAGCCATGCACCTGTCTGCACATAATAAGATAAATAACAGAAACAGTCATACTAGGAACTCAGAGGCAATACTATGGCACAGCACTGCTTTGGGCCAGAGGCTACAGCCAGTATGCTAACATGTTTTCAGTGGTAACCTTGATGTTAAGCTTATTAACTGTTTAACAATAATCCACCTGTATGTAATGCAAATTTGAACATGTTAGAATGCAAATATTTTTCCTTATGTAGGCTGAGGCTGGTGAAAACATTTTTAGCCTATCATTAAATAAATTGGACGAATAAAACCACTGTCCTAATGATGGTGATTTTTCAAGGCCATTGAGGCTATTTCAAAAATTCGACCAGAGCATGAACACCTTAGCTTAATTCAAAGTCAACACATGCAGTGGTTGTTGAGAAAAGTAGTTTAAAATTTATTCCCCCTTTAATACTGTTCAAAAGTGCTTGTTAGTTTATCTCAAGATCATCAGTCACAGAACCAAAATGTATAACTCTTTGTTTTGATTTTTGATAACTGGCAGATGTTCATCAAGATGTATACACTTTATTCTCCCTGCCTTTCTCTCCCTCCCTCACTGCAAAGCCCTGGTCATAACGCTATGTTTACTGCATGTTGACATGGAAAATATTTTAGGGTGAAATAGTAATGATTCATATATACACACAGTCTCACTGCACTCTCTGTTTGTCTTTAAACTTCACTTTTCCCCAAATCGTGTATATAAGCCATGTTTAGGAAGGGGAGATCACTCACTGCCTCAATCCCTGGAGCCTGAGCTGCTGGAGTTAGTCCTTTTGAGGAGAAGAAGCTGCTTTAATTTTATACTTTTCATCAAGAACCGGAGAGGGATTGTGAGAACAAACAGGATTTTTTCTCATGGACAACTTACTGGACATTGGAGATTGAAAATTGGCTTGTGTCTGCCTATTAAGTCACTAAGTAACACTATTTTAATTTTAAGATTTCTGACATATAATAGCACAAGTACTGTGTAAAAACTGAGGTAATTTTTAAAGAACAAAGATTGTTTAAAGGTCTGTTTGGAGCACCTGACTACAACCAAGAGAAAATTTAACAATTTCTAGTGTTTTTTAACAACCTCTAAAGAGCAGACTGTTCAATGACTCTCAGACTCAAGGACAAGGTACAGGATTCTTTTCATCACCTGTATGCGTGTGTCTGGAGTGTGTGTCGATGTTTATACAATAACAGCAGGTTGGTAATGCAGCGCTAAAGCACTGGGCATGACGACATGGCTCCAGGCTTGACGTTCTCTGCTGCCGTTTACTAAACAGCCTTGATAGGACAAGACTGTTTTAGTAAATACAGAAGGTGTGTGTGTATGTGTGTGTCTTAGTGTGTATTTTGGGTTGGTTTGGTACCAGGGCAGTTGGCTTTCTGTTCAGGTAGCATTTATCCAAACTGAAGTGGAGCATCTACTCACTAAGCACTAACAGATTTACAACCTGCCAGTCTTCACCTTTTTATCCACTACAGTTGTGAAGGAAGTGTGAAATTTGCTTTGTGTCGCTATAATCAGTACAGTTCTTACAAACAGAAACCTCTCATGCATAGCAGCTCAGGTATAATCTTCTCTGTCTGAGTTTATATTATAAACACCACACACTGTAAGCCCTGCACCGCACAAACGCGTACCCACACGCACGTATAAACAACATACTAGTGTGTGGGTGCGTTCCGTTAGATCGACAGGTGTGTGGAAGACTGCCACGAGCCAGGCGGCAGGTGGAGATGAGGATTTATAGATTTTAATCGTATCACTCTGTTGAGCAATAATTCTACTGCCTGAGGCGAGGAAGGTCCACAGCTACAGTAACATGTGATTGATGGATGCTGTGCTGGGTATCCCTGAATCACTACGAAACTACTGAGTTTCATAATACAAGTGTTATAGCTCAGGCTCCAGATCAGTACAGCTTAATTTCAAAAGTGGATGCCCTGTGTGGTGAAGAGAGCACTGAGAGTTTTTAGAAAGGGTTTGCTTATTGCTGTCTGCTGGGAAACAGATAAAAGCAGATGAGAAGAAATGCCAGGAGGAAAACATGTTGCATCGGTTTGATGTCTTTGGATGAAAAAAACAGATAAAGGAATTATTCACCTGTATTAAAAAAAAAAAACAGATACAAAGACAAGGGAAGTTCCGAGATATTAAAGAGTAAGGTGTTATTTGTTTCACTGTAAGCTTCTTGACTTTGGTTTCAGGGAGTTGGTCAGGTAAATCCCTCAGGTTTTACCGTTTCTTATCTGGAAAGCTCCATCTGGAACAGCACATTTTCCCTCTGACCCTGTCATCCCCATCCATGGTGTGATTAACGGCTGCAAATTTGCATCGATTTGAAACTGTCTGAAGAAGACAGCACAAGGTGATGTGTCTGCTGTTAATGAAGCAGTCTCCAAGACAAAAGCCCTATAATGTTTCTTTTGGCAGATACACCAACACCAGATCGACAAGGCAAATGGCCACCCCTGCTGCTGCTGCTACATTTTTCACCTGCCAGTATGAAGTCTGAACAAGATACTGAGAAAAACAAACAAAGTTGGCAGCACAGACTATCTGAAGTGCCAAGACATCTTGGGATAGCTGTGTGACATGTTGGGACAGTGATTCTACTTCTTACATTAACAGAGCTTTTCTCTTTTATCCCCCCTTTTCTCTGCTTATCTCACGCTTCTCTCTCTTTTTTCTTTCCATAAGAGTTCCTGATCCATCTTGCAGTATCTCTAGGAAGAGAGGATGTATTTGCATATGGATTTGGCACACTCACACTACCTAAGAATGAATGCTGAGGTTTATGGCGCAATGTAAGGCAGGATGTACCACACAGTTAAATCAGATACGAATAATAAAGCACAACCTTGTGATACAAATGCAACCTCATCACTTGTTTTAAAATCAGTTATGCAAATTTGAGCAAGGTGACCTGTTAACCTCAAACCACTAATACACTTTGTCACTTGTGCCAGATTGTTAAATTCCACTTAATCTGGGTTTGAGGAGTGTGCTCCCTCTTTCTTTCTCTGAGTGTGTTTCTTTCTTTCATGTGTTTAGTGTAAATCGTTGTCATGCTGCCTGTGTTTCAGGGTAAATAAAGGCCTCAGGGTGACACCGATCAAAGAGTATATTTTTATTCAAATGATATATTTGGAGGGCAGCTTCATGAAAGAGTTAAACCAAGGTTAATGTTTGGAAAATTCCATTTATCACTGTTACACATCTTTAGTTATGACAAAAAGAAGAAAAATAACTTATTTTATGACAGTTTCAGAGATAATTCTGTGACACTTTAATTTACAATGTAACACTGAATTGATGGATTGAATATGTTCCAACTTGTTTTTAATCTTTACTGTAAAATTACTGAACGGATTTCAACTGTTGTCACCTATACATTTACATTTAACAGCAGCACATTATCAACAGTTTAGCTTGAAACTACTCCTCCAGATCTAAAAGTACTGACACATATAAATCAAACTTTGTGGCAGTTTTTAATATTCATTCGATTGTAACTTGTTTTATTTGCATTATATTTCTCTATGCATTTTGCCCTTTGAAGGTCATTTTTGATTGGCAGTTTTATGCTGATGTCTTTGTGGAGCTCAAATTTGCTTGTTTCTATGTGCACAGGACAATAAAGCATTATGCAGATTTTCCTTTTTCAGTTTGTTCTTTGTTCATCTATGATTAACTCTCAGATGTTTTAGAGGTTTAATAACTTTTAATATTAAAAAAACACTGTTTTAATTTCCCCCTTCATTCTACCTGGGGGGCCTCTGCAAACAACAAGCTGTGAACAGTGGAGAGTGATTTTGTTTATTTAGCAGTTAGCTCATGCTTCAGCATTTTTTCACAGCTTTCTACAGTTGCTCCCTCTCCCTGGCTAAACCCACTTGCATCCAGTCAGCATTATCTGTGTATAGATGGGGTGACAGACAGGGATTTTAGCGTTAAGCATAGCGGAGAGGGGCAGCATGGGAATGTGGATTTTTACCGTTTAGAAGAATCAGTTAACTATCCATCACACAAAGATCAGGTTTCACTGACATGCAGGTTCTACACTACTGGTCATCGCTTTTCTGACAGGACTGTTTTCTGTCAGTAGGTGCTTATGTTCTGCTTTTTCTGCCTTTGTTTTCAAGGAAAGGGTGGCTGTGTGAAGGAATTCATAAAGCAGATTGCTCCTTAGGGAAAATCAATGTCACAAAATAAAAGAAAATGCAGTGGTAGAATTCAAAAAGCTTTTATTCATATCAAAAACACAACATACATAGAATAAAGCATACATTAGAAATCCATTTTGTACAATAACAGTAAGATACCAGAAAACCCACTATATGAATGTATAACATTACACAACACATTGAAATATTAACAAAGTACACATTTTTTGTCAGACTGTAAGTTCATTAGTTTATAATAAAAACAATGACAGATAATCTAAAGTCAATCTTTTGTTAATTCTCTCAGGACAATGACTTCACATCTCAAAGTGTAATTGACTCGTTTGGGCTAAATGTGCTGTCTGAGCATTGGAAAGTCGATACCATCAAAGAATCACAGATAGGCCTGTGGAATGACCTGATGTCAGCAGATCAGATTTAGGATCAGTTAATAATGAGTCAGATCTGATATAGACCCCCTTGACTTAGAATAAAAGCTGACTGAGGATCTGATAGCGTGACTGGCTGCGGTTTCAGGGAGTGACACTCGTAGTCCATTGCTGCTGACTCAGCTGTTCCTGTGGGAATCAAAGCACTTTTACTCGGCTGTCACACGCTATAGTGATCTCCTCTGTCTCAGTCAGCGCAAACATACCCTGTATGTGTGTTTGTTTGAGTCTTTCAGGACAAAGCCTCCTTAAAACAAAAGTGACCCAAGAAGTAAATAGAGTTTTTCTTTTAACCTGACCTCACCCTTCATGTCTTTTTAGACCTCTGTGCCCTCACGATGATAGATGATTCCTGTGGAGCTCAGCGTAGGGTAAAAATGCCCACCGGAGCCACTGTACTGGCTGAGGATAGAGCTGCTGTAGCCTAGTGAGGAGTGGGTGGGAGAGGAGGAGAGCACAGGGGGTGCTGGAACTTGTGGTACCCACTCTGAGCCACCTGAGTTGGGGGAGAAGCTGCTGAAGCTTCCAGGTTGAGGGGGTCGATGAGGCCCATCTAGGGGAAGATTGATCTGCAGGGGCCGGCTTAACCCATCACCCCCCACCTCGTTAGCTGCTCCGGCTGTCACTCCAGACATCTCGGATAAGAAGCTGCTGAGACAAGGTGCTGGACCTGATGACGAAGGGGAGGGGATCCTGTCAGCTGTGGGGGAGATATTGAGAGAGGCAGGGTTGTTAGGGTGTTTGGGGCTGCCCCTGTCACTGTCTCCTGACTCCGGAGCTCCGCCATCACCACCAGAGAGGGAGTCTGACTTTCTCTTCCTTTTGCGGCGGAAATTTCCGTTGTCAAACATTTTTTCACAGTTGGGATCAAGTGTCCAATAGTTGCCCTTGCCTGTAAAGAAAAAAATAAAGAGTTATTAAGAATGTAGCTTTACAACATTGCAACACCCAAATAAAACACTCAAGCCGTTGTAATGTGAACATTCAAACTGGAAATGAGAATTAATCAATTATAATAGCTTGAGGGTGATATTTGAAAAACAGCCCCCAAAAAAGAAAGAACTGAATTTAAAATGTACCTGGATCATCTTCATCTCTTGGCACTTTCTTGAAGCAGTCATTGAGTGACAGGTTGTGTCTGATGGAGTTCTGCCAACCCGCTTTACTCTTGTTGTAGAAAGGAAAGTTGTCAGCGACATACTGGTAGATCTGACTCAAGGTTAGTCTCCTGTCCGGGGCTCCATGGATGGCCATGGCGATGAGAGCTGAATAAGAATACGGTGGCCTGACTAGCTTCATCAGGTCTTCTTGTGAGGGGAGAGAAAACCAGCTCAGCTCCCCTCCTGGACCCCCAGCCCCAGCAGGTCCAAGGTAAGGCCTCTGCATGCCATAATGCTGTGGGACAAAGGGGGGGCCAGGGTTACCAGGTGGGCCAGTAGTGGCCAGGTACGGCGGTGTGTTGATGCTGGAGCCGTTGAACCAAAGGTAAGGGTTTGGAGAGGAGTTGGTGTAGTCGCTCAAGTCGTAGGAGGTTGGCGTGGTGCGTTGAGGACTTGGCAAGGAAGGAGGAGGGTAGTAGCAGTCACTGTACATGCTGAGCTCAGGGGGCTCCTGGCCCAGGCTGGGAAATTGTGGGCCACAACGAGGAGGAGACTGACCCTGGGTCTCAAATGAAGACATTGTCAAAGTTTCTTCTCACCTCTGAGTGTCTCTTCTTTGTCCTGAAGTTGCCCTTCCTTTCTTTGCCAAACTTAACTCTCCAAGTTGATTCTGTCAGCAACAGAAAATCTCTTTCTTGTTCAGATCTGCAGGTATTTGAATGTAAGCTGCTGATTCGAATGATGATCTCAGTGCTTCCAAGTTACTCCTCTCCACCCCTTTCTTGTCTGTTTGCCCTTGCTGTATGTCAAGATGTCACCTGTCATACCTGCTTTATCTGTTTCCCTGGAAACACCCCCTGCCTGCTTTGATTGGTTGTTTCCTCAGGTGAGTATTCTGTTCCTGCTCTCTCTGTTTTTTTCCTGCTGTCAGCTAATTCAGTTCCTTCAGGGGGTTTTGTTCACTCTCAATTAAATAATTTTCCACTCAATCTAAACTGTCCACATTAATTGAGTTAGTCATCTGTATTTTTTGGACGATAACACAGAATATTCAAACAGATTGATGTCATATTATTTGGCTTTTTAAAAGTCTGCACTCATTTTTTCTCTCCGTTCTGTAACAGACTGTTTATGCACTGTGCAGATGAACAAGTTTCTTCAATAGTAACAAGAGAGACAATTGACATTCCAGCAGCTGTTATCCTTATTAATTATCTGGAGTATGAAATAACAACATTTCTGTAGCATCAGGCAATCATCAATATAAAACATAATATAAATACAATATAAAAAAGATCTTTAAACCCAGGGCTTTACTTGAAAATGAAGTACTAGATAAATATTTCCTGACAAGAATTCTTTCAAACAAACCTTTTACTTATAATGTCTTATAAAACAGTGTAATGTTACCCCTGTCTATCCACAGTACGTTCTATAGAAAAACATAGCTTGAAACATAGCTTGAGGTAAAATCCCCAATGTGAATCAATCATAAGTCTTTTCTTGTAAGAGAGAGGTTCAAAGCGGTATAAAACATTGATAACAAAAAGAGGCTACATAACAATAAAATCTTATTTGGATCATACTTACCTCTTGTAGAAAGCAGTCATTGAATGACAGGTTCTGTCTGATAAGAGTCCAGCCAGTCTGCTATGTTGTAGGAGCAACATCCTGGTAAATCTGCTGTCAGTCTCTTGTCTGAGCAACTAAAGGATGGCAAGGATGAAAAAAAAATGGATGAAAAACAAAACAAAACAAAGAAAACAATGGTGATGTATAGTCATTTTTGAATAACATATAGAAATAAAATTGGTTAAGTTGGCCACATATTATAGGAGTGGGCTGTTCATTAAATGTGGCTCATAGTTGACCCGTTATTAACTAACTTAATTTTCAGTAACTTAAAGTTACTTAATCAACAATCACCTGCCACAATATCTTGAATACATGGTCAGTTTAATGTAATCCAATACAACAGCTATGCCAAAAATTTTGAGTTTTCGTTTTCATGATTAAAATGGTGATTATTGTGCTTTGTGTTTGCTAAAGAAGAGGACATGGGTGCTGGAGTGTGCTGTATTGAAAGATATTCCTTGCATTTTGACCATTTCTTTAACAAGCACGTGCGGAGCAAAATGTTAGGAATACATATCACAGAGTACACTACCACTACCCACTAAAACTTTACTTTAAAATCATCACCTGTCTGACCATGTCAACAGAAACTTAAGAGTGAAGAAGATTTCTGGAAGTATGGTGGAGAGCTGTTGTACCTTGTTGTATAACAGTGCCCAGGCGCAACTGATGTTGTGGCAGGTGAGTGTATTTTCAAAGAAGATGAAGAAGAAGAAGAAGAAGAAGAAGAACTTTATTAATCCCCGAAGGAAAATTCCATGTCTGTAAATAGACCTATAAATGTATGCAGTTCTACTGATATCACATTAATTGTTTTTGTTAAGATATTCTTCAAGCTAGCCAAGAAGTAAAATTTCGTTTCTACAATGTTTTTGTGTTCTAGCTCTTGTGTAAAAAGTTACCTGTTAATGTCAGCGCGTTCCGTTGCGTCATCCATGTATTCTACTGAGTCTGCGCACTACTACGTTTTTTTCCCTCACATGAAGTCACGAGACCCGATTTGAACTAACTACAGAGGAAATACATTTCATCGTAAGTTTCGCATGTTGTAATGTTTTATTAGCTCTTAACAGCCTGCGCTTGTGATAAAATCTCCAATGGTCACATGTGTAAAGCGTTTTTAGTTGTGTGTAAAAGTTCAAAACACCGCAAACTCATTCAACCAACCGTTACCAAACTAACAGTTGTCCTACGACCTAGCTTATGCCAAACGCTAGCTGCGTGAGTTTATCTCAGCTACGTCAGCCATGACAACTCTGCGTCCTACAGTTGTGTTAGCTCCGTTGAAGTAGCCAAAAATTTGCCTCCACCACAAACTTAAAGATTTTAACAGCCTTGCACCGGTTTGTAATTCAGATGACCGACTTCTCGTCGCCCCCCGAGGTCCAACGGGACAGCACTGACGACATTACGAAGCTAAACAAGGATTTGGAGCGACTGATAGAAAACGCTGAACACATATCAGGTATGCTAGATTATCATGGTTACATATTAAAGTATTTGGATATTCAGAAGTCTTTGGCGTTACCGATTATATTTATCAACAAGAAGCTGCATGTAAATCCTTATTGTTCTCTCTACCTGCAGTACAGCTAACCTGGATGTCTTATGACATGGTGGCGCTGCGGACCAGTCCAGACTTGGAGTCCTCTATGCAGAAACTCGCAGAAGCCTTTCTAAGATGCACGGCTGCTGTACGCGGAGAGAACCAGCCAGAGAGTGGCGAAGTTCCTGATGCTTCCGGCACAACACTTAATTATGAAATATAACAGAGTAATGAGAGCTGTTTAATTCACGTTTAGAGTGGAACACCACAATTAAGGGGAGGTTGGTAGATAGCGTTCACAGAGAAGGCTGAAATTATATATTGTGTGTGTGTGTTCAAGTTACTTTAGCAAATGCAATAACATTTTTACCTGTGAAAAACATTTTCTTCTGTCATTGTGCTATCCATTATTAATGGACATATTTTGCAGCTAAATCTGCTGCTCTTTGGTAGCTGTTTGCTCGTGTTTTGTTTTGTTTCAGGTTTTGTTTGTTTTGAGTGCAGAGTACTTAAACCAGATTTATTGAATAAACAATAAAATGAAATGAAATTGTGCTCTGCTGTTTTATTTTGAGACATAATTTGTTGTACTGAAGTCACTTTGGGCCTGTCTTTTGGTGTGACTATCACACTAGCATTCACTTTCATTTTAAGTTTGCTGAAATGATTTCGACTTTCTGTCTGATTACTGTTGCTGAGGTCTGATATTTATTATTGTGCATTTCCTCTAAATATTTATTTTCAGATGGAGATATCAGAGAACAGTGCAGCCTCTGCTTTCATTGATCTGGAGTACATACTGAAAGAGCTGGACTCCTTGTCTACCTGCATGGATGAACTGGCATGTGTGTATAACTGTTTATTCCTGTCATTTACCTTTACACCCCCAGAATGCTGGGAAGAATCAATTTAGCTTGCAAAATGACCTTGATGTTTGATTTGCAAATATGCAAAGCACATGATGTAACTGTTACAGTTGATCTGAAATATGATAGTGAATGTGGATTTTTGTACACCAACTGCTGCGCACCTCAGCCTTGTTGGTAGGTGTCGGGGGTGCAGAGTTACATGATGCTACATGATGTCTGTCAGATCACGCTTTGCTGATGGGTAGATAGGAGTAACTGAAGATTTTCACACACGGATGTCCATCAGGAGATTTGATGTGAAGAATGATGTTGCAACTTCTTTTTGCTAGGGGGGACAGTTGTCGGCAAAGAAGCAGTCAGATCTGCTTGTTGTGATGTCTTGCCTGATCAGAGCCTACCTGCCTACCTTAACAGCTTGAAGTGTGGAAACAAACAACAGCTGTTCACCATGTATTTATCATTGTAAGGGGGAAAATGAGTGGGGCTGTTCCATTTGGTGGTGTGTTGACTTCATAGTTTTTACACCAAATGTACTCCATACAAAAATGAACTGCTATACTAAATAGTTCTGACAAGTGAAAGACAAAAGATATGCTTGGACAGATTTCTAGCTTTTGACAAATTCTGTGGTATAATGTCAGAAAGTGTGCTTTATTCTGCCACCCCTGTCTTCTAATTGTTCTGAGTACTCCAGCTGTGAGTATTTTCTCTGAATGCGCATTGGGTACTGGAGCAATCTTTTCTACTGCAGACCACACAATAAAGAAAAATCTATACCATTGAGTGTGCATGCTGACTGTGTGTATGTTATTTTGTTTAGTTTTGCAGTGTGCACACGCCATTGGGGAATATAGCAATATGCTGCAGTAACAAGACAGAATTGAGTGGAATGTATATTGTTCCAGTTAGGTCCTTCTACCCTGTACTGCTCACTGTTGAGGTATTTCTGAAATCTGAAACCTGAAGCAATTGAGGAGGAAGTAAGTCTTTTTTTTTTCTGCCCGCAGTGCGAACTCAGCTGAAGCTATGCGATCTGATCACATGTGTTGGCCACCCTGATAAGCTGGTGTTATTGAAAGTCCAAGAGGAAACACTGAAGAAGCAGCCCCCAGCTTGGTCTGTTACCAGGGTATAAAGGAAACAGGTATTGCCATGTGTCTGCATGAAACATAGTTTAATCAAATATACAAAAGCATATGCAGTACAAAACCCAATCATTTTCTGATATTCTTTCTACTAAAAACACAATCACAAAAAAAGCAATAACATTAAAGGAGCACTGAAAACTGTGACATATGTTCAGATGATTTACACTTCTTAAAACACCACAAGGGCACATTCACAAATCAGAGTAAAGAAACAAACATAAAGCCTGATGCTGGAACTGGTCAGAGTCCCGCAGGGTGCAGCAGACAGCACTCGCTATGCGCTTCAAGGCTCTGGTCTTTGGCATCAATGAGCAGCAGTGGGGTGTGTGTGTGATGGGTAATCATCTCCCTCACCCCAGGGAAACTCTACAGCACAGCAGCAGACAAAAAGATGACAGGGACCTAATGACGCAGCGCAGCACAAGTCTGCATCAAACGCTCCCGGAGGCATCTCAAGATGTGAACTTTTTAGTTCACTTTGACTGAACACAGACTGACTTTTCCCCATTTTAACATTATGGATAATGATACCATCATTTTCAGCTTACCTTGTTATTGAGCTTAGTGCCCAAGGAGTAGTAGTTGTCTTGGTTACGGATTTTAATATTGAAAATCTTGTTTTGTCTCAGAAGCATTAGGGTGTATGGGTGCTCACCAGAGCTTGTTGAGCTGTTTCTTACGAGAAATGCCCCATCCTAAACACAAAAAGATGGACAGATCCACACAAACACACTTAGTTTAACATGACACAATTAAATGTCACAGGAGCTTCACTGTCCTGTTTGTGTGTGTCTTCTGCAGGTAAACCGGATGGGTGCAATATTGAAAGGCAGCCTCTGACCTTGTTCACCCCTCTGAGTGCAGCTTCAGCTTGATTTCTTGTCATCTGTCCTCCATACCAGCTGGGATCTAGATCCTGTATGCACTGGAATAAAAACAACATGTAAGGACCACTACTCTGGGTAAACAAACTCTTCTGTATTCTCTCCTGCAACCACAGGGCAATGCTGTAGTTCTGCTTTTTTGTGCAACACCGCCATCTGCTGTTTGTATTAACAATCTGGCAAAGCAAATCTAGCAAGTATAGTTGAGAATTTCACTTCGTTATTGATTCCCCGTTTCATTTCTTACCTCTCTTGGTTCTGGTATTGGACTGCTCCTTTTGGCATGCTGTGTTGGAGGGGTTGGAGGGACTTTACTTCTTCTGGGTGGGAAAGATGAATCAGAACATAAATAAATGACTGGTATAAATATGCAGCGTTATTGCCTCTCTAGTCTCACAATATGCTCAGTTTAGATAACCTGTTTGACACATCAGTGGGTTTTGGTTGTTTTGGTTTGGGTGCCTTCCTGAAGGATGAGCCAAAAGTCTTGATAGGGTTGCCCTCTAGTGGACATGAAATGGACATGTGTAATTCTGTGACTAAAAGTTGTTAGAACCAATCCAAATGTGTTAGCAGCACCTACTTGGTTTTTTAATATCCTTATCAGATGAACCAGATCGTCCAGGCTTCTTACTCCGGTCAACAGGCAGATTTGATTGGCCTGTTGTTGATAAATGAATAAAAAAATATTACCCAAGTTGTAACATATAACAACCAAACGCAAATTAGTTTAGTTGATTCAGAGTCGTTGATGTCAACCTGGTTGTTTTGGTGGTTTCCGAGAAGCATCATTAGCTTTTCTTGGACTGGGACGTGGAGGTCTTTCAGCAGGAGATGGGTCAGGAACAGAATCTACTCACATACAAATACCCACATTGTGTCAGGAAAGCATAAAGAAAATGTAACCATTTTTTCTCTTCTATCCAAGAGAAAGCAACAGATGCACATTTATTTTACATACTGCAATTTAGGTGGTTGTTACCCCAGTTTTGATGTTTAGCCGCTCTTGGATATTGAGGTGGTTGCACTGTGTCTTCAGAGGGCACCTCGTACTCATCAGAACTGTATTCCTCAATGTTATCCATGTCTGGAAGCTCAGGAGCGCACTTTAAGGTATCTCTCCTTCTCTCCTGGTGTGGATCCTCATCTTCATGATCACTCTCATTGTCCTGACCAAAGTGGCATGAGTGGGAATGAACTGAGATTAGAGTGTTTAGATCTAGCCCTTATTTTATATTCTTAACGTCAACTAACTAGCTGTGATTTATAATCTACTTCAAAGCTGAAGTTTGCACCATTTAATGTGTGTTTTGACTTACAAACTCATCTGAGTCCCAGACTTCCTCTTCCTGTGCAAATGCTGCATAAAATAGAGAAGCATTTAGCCTTAAATCATAGATTTTTAAATAAAGACATGCACCAACATTATTATCACTCATTTTTCATGACACAACACAGGTGCTTCAGGAGATTAGAATATTGTGAAAGTTTTTTTTTTTCTGTTTAATTTGAAAAAGATAAGTATAAACAACTGCTGCAAGCCTTCTTTGCTTTAATTTGGATGTTTATGGTGAGAACAAATGAAAATCAAAGCTCCACTTTCAGCAATAACCCTCTTTTCCTGCCTGTCTGTGTGGAGGGTGTCCTAGATCATCTTCTGGTTGTGTTTATTAAAAACTGCAAAATTTCTCAGTAATGACTCAATGTTCGGTTCAAAACTGTTTTCTGCTTTTTAAGCAGGGCCACATTTTGGTGGGTTCAGCAATTTTTTTTGCCAGCAGATTGGACTTTCTTGTCTGTCTTTGACAACATGTCTCCAAACAAATTTTTCAGGGTGGGTTTACTGTCTGACTGATGCGACTGTTAGTGGGTAGTATTTGTCTTAATCCTCGCCTCTTGCCAATATCTGCCTGATGACTGATCACAGATTGTGCAAGACGAATAAAAGTCTATATTAAGATGACCATGTGGGTCAATGTTTTCACTTTCTATTTATAATATTTAGGTTGATCTCTGAAATGAAACACGAAGCATAATTTGTTGTTACAACCCTGTGCCTTACCCTCTTGTTGAAACTTTGGTGTGTTTGGTCTACAGAAAGAGGAAAGTATGTGAAAGTTATTCATTGCGGTTTTATACCATCCAACATTTAGTGGGAGCTGTAAAGTAGTTTTTTTTCGTCTCTTACTTGTGTCCATAGGTCTTCTTATGCTCCCCCTTGCTGATTTCACTTTGTATTTTAGAGATTACTCTAGAAAAAAAAAAAAGATAAAGATATTTTCCCTTTGACAGCTTAAATGGGTATATGATTGATAGTTTAATAGATTTAAGTCAGACTTACCCGACATAAAGGCCTGGGAAGACTTGGAGATCGCTCTTTGTCATTTGCTGTCAGTATAAAAGAGTATATCGAAGGGTAAGAAAAAGGGTTCAAAGACTAAAGGAGAAATAGAAGCACTCACCATAAACTGGGCTCCACTTATGCCGCTCTTCATCACTGCTTTGTCACAGCCTGATAGGCTGAGCTAAGAAAATGTGACATAAATTTAGTAAGGTAATTAGTTAACTACAATTTTATGAAATATACTGCATCAAATATGTTCAGTTAAAACAGAAATTATATTAAGCAAATAAATACTAATTTTGCAACGTGTACAGTGTGGCATTGTTATACCATACATGTCATACAGTTTGTTTTAGATGGCAATTTTTTTCATGCAAAATGTCTACCTTTAGAATCAAAAGAAAACAAGTAACACAATTAACCATAACATAGTATATCCATCCAAGGTTTCAACCTTTTTTGGTACTCACCTTTCTCATATAGTCAGCTAGACTCTGGGGATTCCATCCCATCACCTCTCTTTTGGGGGGAATGTCACTGAAATTCATGCCTATCTTTGCAAGAGTCACAGTCACTGAAAAAGACTGGCTCAGTGGCAATACTTGTTTTTTTAATCGCAGACTCACAAAATGTTGCTCTGTTAGACTTAAGTCTACTCCCCAAAATGAGAGTAGAGTCAAACCACGTAGTGCTTTTTAATAATCAAGCTCATGTTGTCACAGTTTCCTGTCCGCCTGTTGTGTAAAGACTGCAAAAGAGCGTGTCAGTGGTTTTATAAACCACATACGACCTCTCAACAAGTGCATACATACAATGCAGAATTAAGCTACCTCTAAACATAGATGCTGTTAAACTTTCCATTCAAAAACCTGCACACGCCTCCAAATACATGGACAGTACTTAAATGCAGTGGCTTCTTTTGACTACACTTTTGAAATTGCATTTCAACTGCTTGGATATTAATGTGGATAATAACCTTTTACTTATTTTTGCAAAGATAGAACTTACCGCTCAGAGTATTTTTTAGCATGTTGTGATGTTATGCGTGTTTTTTTCTTCGAATCCACAACTTAAAATTGTCTGAAGCTGTGTCAGATCTGTCCTACATCAGGCCTCTTGGTATCTCACACCAAGGTGAGAGAGGAGGGCAGCAGAGTGGAGGGATGATCAATCACGCTCAGATCCCCCAGGCATGTCTGGGTGAATACATGGGTCCTCCTGGGGGGTCCTTGTGGGAGATCGCCCCCCTCTTGTGTTTTCCTCTTATGTCCTGATTGGGGAGCAGTTACCCCCTCAAGACAGACACTATACCGCCAATGTAGACATAGTTTCTAATACTGAATGACTATGAAGTGGAAGATGCACATTTTAACCATGTGTCAAAAAGGTGAAAGGTAACATAAATACATTTTAAAACGGAAAAAAATAAAAATATTTAAGTGTCCCATGAAAAAAAAACTAACTCCCTTGAAATGTCACTTTTCAGCCAAAAGAAAGCACTGGAAACAAAAGACCAGAGCAACCAAGCAAAACATCATAAGGAAGACAATAATGTACTCAGTTGAGAGCAGAGATAAGAGGCAGTGAGGACTTCCAGTGGGGCGAAACCTTCATTAACACACAGCAGGACAGCATGGGAAATACAGGACATCCCCACAAGCAAACAGACAAATGGGAGCTGTGGGAGGGGGCGTTTTGGTCAGTGTTTTGGTTGCGTTACTCTGCATGTTGTGCTTTTTTGTGTGACATTTCCCATGCAAGAAAGCCATTTTGAATCCGAACAACTAAGTTTACTCTTAATTCTGTCAGTTTGATTGGACTGTTAAGTGTCTCTAGAGCAGTTTGGATGTGCTCTGCTATCGGCACCCAAATCAGATTTTAAACAGGCACAGTCATGTAAGGGGGGAAAAAAAGATGACTTCATCAGCTGTGATATTATTAAGATCTCGGAAATCTGTAGTGACAGAAGTTGATCTAGTGTAAAGATAACCAAGCTGTAATCCCCCACTTATCTTGTTATTTACAGCTTCTACAGTAACTGCTCTGTAAAGATAGTGAAACAGCCCTCTCTCTGTTACACTCCCACCCCCACACCCCCGGGCATTATGGAGGTAATATCCACTCCATCACTCACTGAGCTGAGACAGTGGCAGATTTATGACATGTCCAGCTGAGAGGAAGATTTTTGGAGATACAGGGGGTAGAGAAAAGAAGAAGGGGATGAATGGCTTCTCAGACTCAGAAAGGCCTGTGGGCGGAGAACAGGCTCTCCTCAGACCTAATTACTTGCAAATTATAAGATTAGAAATTAACTGGCAACCAAGGTGGAATGTAAGTCACGTTTATTTATAACTTCCCTGGATCTATGCTGTGGTTTCTAAAGCCTAATCTGACCTACTTTTTGGAGAAACTGTGTCTTTGAGATTGGTCAGATCTGTCAGCGTGTTTCCCCTCTAAGGCTTTGATGTATTGTGATACATTTGCATTGCCAGTGGGATGTGACAAAGAATAGGATAGGTAGTGGTGTCCTGGATTAACAGGCCTAATACCTGGAAATGCTCCCTAATTTGTCTTTCAAAGCCTCACTGCTCTTTGAATGAAATCAATACACATTGACATCAAAGTGATAGTGGATCAACTGCTGGATCAACATCTTGGTTAGGCGTGAAGTGCACCATGTTATCCGTGTAATCCTCTGTTAAGTGTATTCACCCTTTTCTTATTCTAATAGACTTTTGTGTGCCCTGTCACAAAATTGGACAAATCCAAGGTGTTTATTTTCCCATTTTATTTCAATTTTAACAAACAACATTTATAAATAGACAGTGTTTATGTACAGAAACATGAGAAGAAATGAAAAGTGCAAACAGGCATTCAGTACCTTCATATGAGCCATTACCTAACAGATTTACTGTAGTTTGAACTGCATATTACATCAGTATACTTAACAGGGACATATATCAAATTGGCAACAGAGTTCAAATGCATATTCATGTTTATTTGGGTACCCTGTGCCTACGTCTAAAGCTGTGTCCGCCTCCGTCTCTCCTGGCGCACACATGTTTCACTATAGCCTGGGAGCAGTCCTCACAGTTCACCGTGCAGCACCAGTGGAATTTGCAGTTGCAGCTGCTCACCACCTCTGTGCGTCTCTCTTCCACCCTCAGGCCGCATTCATGACAAAGCCTGCGGCAGCTGCGCCTCTCCCACTGGCCCTGACCCTCTGCGTATTGCACACACTCCCGGTCCTCGGTGCCGTGAAGCCCCAAGCTTGTGTTCCTTCTGCAGTAGTCCGGGGAATCCTCCAAGTAGATGAGCTCCGTGGGTGCCACATTGCTGAACGCATCCACGATGGCACCTCGGTTGTCAGCACTGTTTCCTGCGCGCATGCGCTTTTTATCGATGTCCAGCTTCTGGGCTTGGCTGTGCTTGAGCTTCAAATAGTTTCCGATCTCTCTGAAATCGGACAGTTGCGTCCAGCAGGTTTGGACACTGCAGCTCTCAGACATGCCATGGCACCTGCAAATACGCTTCATTGTTGCCTTTACTGCCTGTAGGAAAACAAGGAACGCTCTTTATTATCAACGACATGACTCTGTGCTCTGTGGAAACACGCGTACATTAAAACCATGTCTTACCAACCGCCCGGCCGCGTTATTATGCAGGTTGACAGCAGCCCTGGAGTCCTGGCCAGTCTCCTGGGCATCCACGTACAGTTTGGAAATCCTCTCTCCAAAATCAACGTTATCACTACAGCCGCCCCACAACCAGCCACGACCACCTGCAGAGAGTGTATTACTGTAAACCTGATGACCATCTTCAACGCTCTTCAATCAAATATTTATCTCTTTAGACCACAATAGACTTGAAACAGATTCTAGTATCCATGTTCGTTTGTTTTTTCAGTACTTGGAACCTTACCAATTTTCCCATTATTGGACACATCACAGCCGCAGTTGTCGAGGTCACCCAGACTACAGTTCCTGGTCAGAGTGTACATGACTCCAGCTGCACTTATTGCGTGGACGAAAGATGACTCTCTGGTGGCTGTCAATGATTAAAATATATTAGTGAGCATTAAGGCGTTACTCTTAAAATATCTCTATAATGATAGTGGCTGCAACTTTTATGATTGATAGAAGAACTTGGGTACAACATATTGTACAATCTATTGTGTATAGAGAAATCACCTCTATTGCATTTCAAGATATCCTGTGTTGCGGCACTCTTGTATCTGTTACACAATTTACGCATAAAAACTACTGTACCAAGACGAGACCTGCATCCAACCCCCGGTGCATGTATTTGAGCTCGACCTACCTCGTCTGAGGCCTTTGGGCTGAGTCGCGCTGTCAGGACAGTTCCATCTGTCCCACGCAAACTGGTGTTTACACTCCTTGATCCCGCTCTGTGCGCCCGCTCGGACGCTTCTTGCATAGGTGAGGTAGGCCTGCAGTAGAGGTAATGCCATTTAATGCCTTGTTTAAATTTTCAATTTAAATTTCCCCAACTTTCCTAGTCAGTCCAAATATTTTCAAATTACCTTTGGTCCAGTCATGAGAAAGTTGCTTGCCAACCTGAGAAGAAGATTAAGAATTGTGAGACTAACTTAAATTTACGCACAGGGACAATAAACAGTGACAACTGGTTTTGTCTCTTACCAAGCGTGCCCCGGAGATATTTCGTGCAAAACAAACAGGAGCCAAAATAATGAGTGCATCATCTTCATCCCTTCAGTTGGCTGCCAATGTTAATATGTAGCTTATTTCGACCTGTGCGCTCAAACTTTCCTTTTTGAGTGAGGAACAAATGGAAGTCACCCTTTGTCCCCCGGACCCGAGAAAGCTGATTGGTTGACGGATTCAGGAAACGCCTATATGCGCACTTCAAAGGGTGGCATTAGGCAGGAGTTTATGTCTTTCCTTAAGTCTGTGTGAATACAGGAGACGAATATACAAAAGACCGAAATAGATCTACACTATTGATAAATCAAATTCAGACACACATAACTTAAAAAAAATATTTATTTTCTTGACTTAAAACACATACAAAATATTTGATTTTTACCAGACTTCACAGAAGACAAACAAACATGACCATCCATCCCTAAGCACAAACATCATTGTGTGAGCATGCTTGGGGGGTTGGTCCTGTAAAAACAAAATTAAATAAAGTGCATTAAAAATACCGATGTATATCCACAGATGTCCAAAATGTTCAATGCCATGATACAAATACTGACTTTATAGTCTGTGCAACAAATGGAAGTCTATTGCTGGCGCGCACGGTGCTGGCGCTTGGTTTTGTTGTGTGGTTTTCTTCCACCTTCTCTGCGTGCACAGTAGTATTTAGTAACAACTTGCATGCATTTGTCACACTTGACTGTGCAGCACCAGTGAAACTTGCAGTTGCAACTGCTGACAATTTCAATGCGCTTCTCCACCACTCTGAGGCCGCAATCATGGCACAGCCTGCGGCAGCTCTTCTTCCCTCGCTGGGTTGTGCCCTTTACCCCCTTCAGACACTCCCTGCCCTCGGTGCCCTGGTATCCCAGGCTCAGGTTCTTGACGCAATAATCCGGGGAATCCTCCAGGTAAATGAGCTCCGTTCGGGCGATGCTGCGGAAAGTGTGCGCAATGACTCCTCTGTTGTCTGCGCTGTTCCCGGCCCTCGCAGGCCTCTTGTCCATCTCCAGCTTCTTTGCGTTCTCGTGCTTCATCTTCAGGTAGTTTCCCACCTCCCTGAAGTCGGCAAGCTGCATCCAGCAGGTTTGGATACTGCAGCTGCCAGATACCCCATGACACTTGCATGCCTTCCTCATGGTAGCTTTGATGGCCTAGAAGAAGCAACAGGTTTAGATTCTAAACATTTTTTACGCTTTTTAGCACTGGGAAGTATTGAGACTGCCCCATTGAAACAGAAATTCATTTATATCTTACCAGTCTGCCAGCCTCGTTGTTGTGCAGGTTGACTGCTGCGCGCGAGTCATGTCCACCTTCCAGTGCGTCCACGAACTGTTTGGAGATCTTCTCTCCAAACGCAATATTATCACTACAGCCTCCCCAAATCCACCCTCTTCCTCCTGTTGAATCAGACATATGAATTAATGATTTAGATCTCACATCATATGTTACGTCTGATATAAACAAATTGGCTATAATTTAAACTACTATATATATATATATATATTTTTTTTTTTTCTGAGAAATATACCTGTCTGTCCAAGTCTGGAGTCATCGCAGCCACAGTTGTCAAAATCTCCCATGCTACAGTTCTTGGTCAGCGTGTACATCACTCCGGCTGCGCTGATTGCGTGAACAAAAGATGTTTCTCTTGTGGCTACAACAAGTGAAAAAAGAGAAGCAAAGTGTCATTTTATAGGTTCAAATATGACCACATGTACGCGCATTGGCTACACCAAAACACCATGCGTAAAACGCGCGCAAACTGTATAGAGACAGTACATGAGATATAGCACGGATCATTTTTGAGGGGGGTATTAACGTTGGGTCATCAAGGCATTTAAGTTTTTATTCCTCCATGTAATAAGAGCTTTTAGTTGGGGGCACAGACTTAGCGTAAAGTAGTTAACTTTTACCTCATAGCGCTTTATCAAATCTGACAGCTAATGAAATTAAACTTACACCCATAACTAACTGTCATGCATGAATTATTCCTTTATGATTAAAAAATATATATTTTACCACTTCGGAGGCCAATGTGTGTGGATAGTTGGAGCGTGTTCTCTGGACAGTTCCACCTCTCCCATGCGAACTGATGTTTACACTCTTGTATTCCACTTTGTGCGCCCATCTGCACGCTGCCAGCATAAGTCAGGAAAGCCTGGTGAGGAGAAAAAATAGTCTGAATAAGTTTTGTTTTTATTCAACCATGATACAGTAGTATATCACGACAAAATCGATTAATGTGCAACATCTGGATGACCCAGACGAGGTTTTACGCACAGCTCATCATCAGATATGTCTATTTACCTTGGGTCCGGTCATGAGGAAGTTATTCACCGTCCTGCAAGAGATCAAACAAAAACAAGACAGCTCAGTTAATGTCAGCAAAAAGTCAACAAACAATGTTTTAAAAAAATTAACTTCTTTATATTCCTCTAAATGTTATCGGCATACCAGGCGAGTCCAAACTGTACATAGCAGCACATGGACATAGCCAAGGCTGGAAAGAGATGCAAAGGTCCCATAGTAGCTGTAATCCACACAGAGGCCTGTTTGTTTGTATCCCAGATGTGAGTACCCTGAGAGGAGAGGACAACTGAGGCAGCAGCCGGGCGCTGATGATATTTATATGGTCGTGCCCCTTTGATTGACAGATTTGTCCTGCAGGTAACGTTTCGCTGTGAAAAAAGCCTCAACTACGACATTGATTGCTGCGTCTTAGAGACAAATAGGAGCCGTCGCTGCTAAGTGCACTTCAAAGAAGTGACGCAGACAGTTAACAGCCCCTCATTCGTTCACCTGTCGTTCCCAGGCCTTAATCCTTATACTCGTTTCCCACGTATTACAATAAATCAAGAGGATTTAATCATAATATGTTAACAATACCAATAGAAACAACACAAAATATGAATAAAAAATTTGATTTTGGCGCTTATTATTGATAAGAAGGCTTGGACATAAATAAATGATGAAGAGAGACTCCAGTGAATCTCTCTTTACGCTTTAGGGGTTAATTCTACAGAGTGCTTAACATAACCATGCATTAAAGTTATGATGATGTTCTTCATTGACCATCTTCTAGCAAATGAAAGTATTGGAGGCTTTAAAGAGGCTTCATGAAAAACGCATAAACTTCCCAATTTAGTCACACCAGTAAAAGTGTGGTTTCTAGTACTAAAACAATCTACATATTTTCAGAATGTACAGTGCTGGATTTTGCTGTAAAGCTTTATTTGTAGTTTAAATTTGGGAAATGGCACCAGTGTCCCAGTGGGAAAGACAGTGGCAGCAAAGCCATAAAGTCTTTCAGGAGCTGATGGTATATAGTCATGTAAATACTACCTCACACATCGGCGACATTGGCATCTTTGTGATAATAGGATAATAGATGTTTCCTTGGGAAGCAACTTGGTGTGAAAGTAGTCTGGAATTTACAAGAGTTTATACCAATAAGAATTTGAGAAGTTTTACTTGCAGGTTATCATAGGATGGTCATCTATTTTGGTGCTAGGATGGTCTTGGTTCGTAATTTTATTAACCGGTTTCATCCATATTAATCACCAGGATTATCCAACACCTAGTCAGCACATGCTGATGATCCTCCTTGATTTAGCCTCCATAATCACTGCCAACATTAACACTCATTATAGCAGTTTCTGTTTCATACTCATACCGTGATTTGATTCGAGAGGAGTTAGCACCTAAGTGATAAACATTAGAGTTTTTAAATGACATCGCTCACACTTGACAAATCCCCTTTAAGCCACTCAAAATCCGCTATAACAGCCATCCACTCAGCGCATTAGACAATAGCCGGACGGCAGGGCGAGGTCCTGCGCTCAATAGTGGAGAGGTATAGGTGAGGATAATCCTCATTATTAGATATGGCCCATACACACTTCGCAATATGACTGAAACCTCGAGCCCCTCAACACCTGATTGGGTAATAATACAGAGTGATTAAAATACTTCATAATTAATCTCTTAAGCGATTTAAGTTGGTGAATAATGGCTAACAAAAGGACTGAATCCAAAGGGGTGTGTTTCAGCGTGAGTGTTAGATCGAAACTCTCGTGGATGTATTGCAGAGGTACAAGCATATAGTCCTTACTCACTTATGCATTATGCTGATATGCCATGGATTCTGCATGCATATAAGCCAAAGTATGGAGGTAGTTCTCAACTAATTTATAAATATAACGATTTCATGATGTGTATTCCAGCTCATGCTTACAATTTACAACAGAGGAAACTGCAGGGTCAGGGTCTTTACGGTTAAAATAACATAAAGTAAATATGCGCATAAATTAAAGACTTCTAACAGACAGTTCAGACACATTAGGCTGTTCATGGAGCGCTGACGGCTGATTTATGGCAGTGTGAGGTGAGAGAAATGGAGCAATAAAGGATCAGGAGGTGGCAAGTTTGACAGTCTGAGGAAGGGTGGCAGGACTGCTGACGCCAGCCAGCGACATCAGAGACAGCCACAGACTCTCAGCCCAAAATGGCCATTATAAGGAAAAATGCTGTGAAGTTAGTTTATTCTCAAATTCGGCTGTCATACAATAAATACAGTGAACAGGTAACTGTAATATCAAAAGCCATGTAATGTTGCACCTCGAATTTTATTTTCACAGTACTCATTTTATCTCGGTGTTCAGAATAAAGCTGGTTTTATCTCCTAATTTCACGTTACATTTAGTGGTATATTACGAGATTTAAATGGTTAAATTCATTAACTTTTTAAACAACAGTATTGCGTCATCAACCCCCTCCTCCTTACCCTCTATCAGCCAATCGCAGTCCTCCATTCCGGAGTAGCGCTTACAGCTCCCACTGGGAAAGCTAACCCCCCTTTGCAATACCAAACAAAAAGAAAAGGGAACAAATAACCATGTGTTTATATCTTTGCTGAATGTGTGTCCTTACCTGGGGAGTTTTGAATCTACAACATTGATATTGCTGTTGATACTGAGTGAGGACTGGCAGGGCTCATAGCAGTGAACAGTTTTATAGTCCCAGTGGTATTCAACATGGTGATTCAAAGACTTGGATTGTGAACTGTCAAATCTTTTATGTGCAGCTTCATAAAACCCCAGAAATAGAAAGGCTGAGCTGAATCACAAGTTTGTGGACAGGGTGTACCCTACTAATCTTCGCTTATGTGAAATGAACCCCATTTCATCCCCTCTTAATGGGTTAGTTAGACGTGTGTTTTGGGGAAAATGTAGACAGCCAAAATATTTCTGGAGGGAGGGATATGATCTGATGTTAAGATTGTGAGATTGTCATTGGCTGTGACTCCAGTGAGGTAGTTTTTTGGTTCAGAGCTGGACAGGACCTGGGACCCCATATCTGCTAAGAGGACCGATAAAATTTCATTGACATGGCACTAAATGTATTGCACTCGACTTGGTCATGTGGAACTAGCAGAGACCTCAGACATATGATCTGTTTCCTGACTGAAGCATTAGGTTTAGAGCGATGCACTTGCAACTTAAATATAAGAGAAACAATATGGGCACCTCTGATGGACTTCTGACTGTGTTCAGTAGAACTAGTGGAGTTATGGCCTAGTACTGCAGTCAAGAACATCTTTAATGTACTTTCACAAAAAAGAGAGGAACCTCTTATCAATGTAGTTGTGTATTCAAACATTCATTTATTTGTTTATACAGTTTTTTTCTTCCTGAAATCACTTTCTTTATTGTTTATTTCTTTTCTTTTTGTTATTTATTGATTCATTTCTTTATTTTTTTGTCTTATTTGCTTTCTAATTGCTGGTTTTGTTTAATATTAAATTTTGAAATGTCAAAAAAATATATATATATATTTGAAAAAGGAATAGAAAAAAACCCATTTAAAAAGACTGAATCGTATAAACGGAACTACTTTTGTCCTGCTAGTTGATGACTTAACCATGTAATTTCTGTCCATGAGGTAACTCATTTTGGCTCTTAAATGGCTAAATACATAAAAGCCAGGATAGTTAAATAGAAGTGACTTTACTGTCATGTTAAGCCCAGTTGAAGATGAAAATAAATTCTTTTCTTTCAGAAAAGAGATGATAAATACATCTATTTACTTTTTGGTTGTCATTTAGTCCTTTTAGTTTCTGTGAAGATTCTTATGATAAAGTGTCTGATACCATCTACTCAAACTATTTCTTTACTTTTGTATGTTAGTTAGAGAATGTGTGTTGTCCACAGAAGACTCTGTTATTGAAATTCACTGAACAGGGCCTCTGTCTGTGCACGAACTTTTTCTTAAAATCTGGCTGTACCTTAAACTGAGTCATAACAACTATAAGCTTTGACTAGTCACTCAATAGGTGCCAAACAGACAATCTAATTACTGACACAGCTTAAACTCTACACAACCACCAGCTGTAAGCAGTCCAGACAAATCATTTGATTGATTTTTAATTCCCTGGCTTTGTATAATCGGTCCTCGCCCTGTTGGCGCGTGTATCACTTTAATACAGTCACAAAAGAAAGAGGACTATGCAGGAAAATCTGGTTGAATGTCTTCATATTTATTTCATAAAGAAAAGTAAAAAGTTTTTTTAAGAAAACATCCCACATGATTAGACTCAGAATGCTCCCCTGTCCTCACCCCCCACACCACCCCACCTCCCCCTAGCCTGGGTGCCTGCCCATCTATCTGTGCTACACCACCTCCACACCACTCCCCAGTTTGGCAACATTTGAGATATGCTAGCTCAAAGCTAACAGTGCTAGATAGGCACCCAGACTAAAGTTTTTTTTTCACCCTATAGTGGTAAGAGAGCCCCCATGTGAAGATGCCATATACCCCTTACAGCACCCCAGGGAGCTTAAGAGCACCCTTATTCTGAAGACAACGCAAGAGATTGAAATACTGTGATAATCAAAAGAAAGTGCTTTTTTTGCTGTCGCATCTCAGCTTCTTTTCTTCATGTGCTCTGAAGTCAAGGTGTGGCGTCGCCTTTTCTCTCTTGCTCAATTGCTGAAAAAAGAAAAGAGATTATGGGTCAGCAGGCTTGAATTTGTTGTTGGGCAACGCAGCAGAGAAATGGTGCTTTTGTTTTTTTTGTCCTGAATATCAATGATTTGCTGATGTTGCAGCTATTTGCTTTTTGCTGCTCTGCTTGCTGAGCATGTATTCCTCTGACAGCACTGGAGGTGATGAGTAGCTACTGACAGGAAAATTGTTGCAGGGAATTGAGGCTCTAATTCTGCCTAGAAACACACACACATACATACACACACATGTACACATGCTGTAGACATGAGGGACACTCACTCTCTTTGGTGGGCAAAGGGTTTTTTTCTTTTGTCTCTGTCTTCTTCAGCTTTGTCTTGTCGAAGCGAGCGATTTCAGTCATGTCAGGCTTGTCAGACATTTTGGCTGCAAAAGAAAATAAAAAACCTCAGCACAGAGGTTTGACCTTTCCTGTCAGCCATGGCAGAGATTAGACAGTGAAATATAGAATGAGATATAAGATCCTTCATAAATATTTCTAAAAGTGTATTCTACAGTACAATGGCCTTTTTGGAATAGTCATAATAAAGACTCCTTTTTCGTCTTTTTGTATAAAATTAAAAATGATTTCTCTGTCTTTGTATCCATCCAAGCAGCACATGTTGTAGCCACTCCCTTTATGTGCAGACACATTCACATTCACGCCTGTGCGTGGTGGCCACCTCCCACTCATGCTCTGCCTTGATTTTCTTCCCACCAAAATGCCTATGTAGCTAACATGTGCCTATTTTTACCCATCTGCCTGATCTTCTTTGTCTCTACATTTTCTCTCCTTCCTAGGCTGAGTTCTTTGTTCTCTCCCTCTGCATCCTCTCCCTCTCTCTCCCTCTTTCTCTCTCTGCATCCACCCCTGCAGCCTGCTGGATCTGGGCAGTGCTCCGCCACAGGCTCCACTGCAGTCATATTCCTGACCTAGCCTCAGGTCTGACTAATCTGTCTTGCACAGTCGGGCCCAGTCATGCCTCTTTGAGCCACTGCTCTGGAAGGGGCTGCTGTGAAAATGTGACAAGCCCACCAGTCTGTAGCCAGTCATCTGCACACCAAGGAGCTGTAAAATTAACTAATCTGACTCGTCAGAACATAAATAGGGCCTAAAAGATTCAGTGCGACACAGACGTAGTTAAGCCAGGCACATGGCCAGAATTTTAAGTATGCAGATCCTTGAAATGAGGTGCAATGGATCATTTCTCATAAGCTACCAAGGTGTCCAAATCCAGCCCTGCCAAGTCTTAATAACATTTACAACGATAACGTCAACTGTATTCTCAAGCATGTGCTCCATTGTTCCTGTATTACCATTACCATCATCCATAGCCTTCTGTTTTCACATCATTTCAAAGCTTCCATCAGCAGCAGGCTCCTTTTTCCTCAGCCACACCCCAATCCTTTGTCAGACTCCAGCGAAATTAGATCAGAAAGAAACACAAGGGCTGAAAGAAATCAAAAACACGCCAGTGAAAGAGAGGATTTGTTCTTACCGGTTTTCCACAAAGCAGTGGGCTAGAATCCACCAGAGGAGAGAGCAGGGAGGGATGGAGACTCAGAGATGGAGCTGGGAGAGCGACACGGAAGCTGAGTCAATCTGCCGGTGTGTGCACGCCTGCCTGCATCCAGGGTGTGGGTATAAGAGGGAGGGAGGGGGGAGAGAGAGAGAGAGATGGAAGAGAGAGAGAGTGAGTGACTGAGAGCTTGGTCAGCCTCCCTTCTCGGCATCAATATTAATGCTCACCAGGGAAAAGGCTGGAGGAAACCAGCCACTCATAGGAAGCAGCTGTACTGCTAAGCTGGTATGAGATTGATCCTGTGTGTAATACTGTATTATTCAGCTTTTTCGCTGAGTATGTCAGAATCACAATGCATGAAGTGGTAGAAAGAGGATTTTGCCTTCTGTCGTATGTATAATACAAGTGTTCTAAAAAGAAAACTGGTACTGGGAGACTCTCCTTTCCTCGTTACACGCTCAGAAGGTGTCAAAGTGTCTGTAATGCATAGTCATTTAACGACTTGCTTCTTTTTATAGGTCCGTGTTTTCATTTCAGTATTTTTTATGTCATGTTTATTTTTACAGACACCAGTATAAGGGTTGGACTGGTGCTGCATACCACAGCTATAATAGCCTAAGAAGGTCTGCAGTGCCCATCCCAAGATGGGCCTTTCTACACACATAGAGAGAAACAAAGTAGAGCAGAAAAGCATGAAATCATTGTTGTCAATCATAATGCACTGTAATTTTTCAGTCCAGGCTGATAGATTAAGTAGATGTCTGAAGATTTAGAAAGGGTGATACATGCTTTTTTAATGCCTAATCTCTACTGTTGTAGTTCTCTTTATTCAGAGCAGATATTTATTCAGTGTTTGCAGCTCGCTCAACAGGCTGCTGCTCAATCAGAGAGTGAAAGTGAGACTGCACCACACCTGTGCTGCTCTCTAAAACATTTGTTGTTGACTTTGAGGCCCCGAATGGATTGGCATCAATTTACTTGAAATTTTTCTTGATCATGGTCCAGCTAGAACATTGAGGTCAACCAATCAGCTGCTCCTGGATATGCCCACTTCAAAACCAGACCCCGATTTTTTCTCTCTTGGTTCCCCTTCCAGATGAGAACTGTATCCTGGCACATACAACTACTTTTATAAATAGGGTGTGATAATTACTGTTGTTTTCTTTTTGTACTTTGACCTTGAAAAGCTGCTTAATGCACTGCTATATAAATCTTGGCTTGACTTGACTGATGATAATTTTGAAATTATAATGTATGCATAGATAGCACCTTTAAAAACATTGGTTTACATAGTGTATAAGTAAATATTCAAACAAAGCCAGGACCCAACACCCAAACCTACATAGAAATAAACAAAAGCAAAATAAATATCCAGCAGCTATATACCCAAAGCAACAGATCAACCTCAAGAGACATGCTGATTCGACAGCACAACACAACAACACATAAAGTGAAACTCAGAGGCATGAGATCATGTGAGGAGGTAAGAAATTAAGTAGTAAAAACAGTTTAAAACAAAACGAAGCAAAAGACACTGGGAAATTTTATGTTTTGTGAACATTCTTCTGTATTTTTGTAATAGTCATTATTTGCTAAAATTGTACCAAAGTTGAGATTTCTCAAAGCTTCGAAGCAGATGGGACAACTCCTATCCAATCATTCTAAAAAAAGGACACTTTTAATTTTGAAAGCTAGATCCCAGTTCTGAAGTATTTGTTGGTATAAATGACTATCAAGTACAGTCAGTTGTTCAGCCAGAACAGCCATAATGTGGACTGTTATGCAATATGTAATCCTCAAGGGACATTGTGCACCTAATCAAAGTGTGTCCACTCATGATCTGACTGTAAGTCCAAATATCTAACTGACTACATTTCAGTGAAAAAACACATCACAAGGGAAGCTTTTTATTTCTTGAACAGCAATAAATTGTATCTCACCCGACTCCAGAAGCAAAAACTGTAATTCACTTTGCAGAACATGGTAAAGTCTGCTGCTGCTGCATTAGCTAACAATGTGTGAAAAAATGGCCTATAATTAGAGCAGAGGAAGTAGAGAACCTTATTTATACTTGAGTTTATTTTTACAGAGAACTGTTTTTATAGAACTAACCAGTGCACATAGCAGAGCAGTTAAGGCCACGTGTTCACATGCTCACATTTAAGAGGACATTTTGAATGAATATTCAGTGCTCAGCATAAGAAACCACTAAGCACAAACAATGATAAAACAAAAACAATGGATATTTAGAGACATGGCTGATCATGGATAAATTTAGCTGAAACTTTTAAGATACAAATTAACCAGTACACCTTTTTTTGTTTTTGTTGTCAGAACTCAAAGGAATTTAAAGAGTCACCAAAAGAGTTTGAGATAAAAATGTTCTGCCTTTTTGGAATTGTTTATGTCAGAAAAATATATTAATGAATCAATAAAATAATCTGAGATGACATATTTTAGAGACATCATCATTAACCTGTAACACATAATATTTTACTACACGCTCTTGCCACTTTTGGTTGACATCAAAGCTGCTATTCTGCGCCTGGTATATCCTTGTGCTGGGATTTAACATAGTCTCATCCTTTAGTTTGTCATTGATCAAGCTACTCTTGATTACATCAGGTTTTAATAAAACCATGATGTGTGCAGAGCTCACGGCCCTCTGCTGACATCATGAAACCTGCTGGTCTTCCCTCTTTAATCTCTCTAAGGTCTAGTTACAGGCTGCCAGTGCAGCCGGGGAGGGCATTTATCTGAGCACTCATCTCAGAATAGCAGAGTGATGATGACTCAACATGACCTCAACTTTTGAAATGACACAGTGAGCCCGTTCAAGGTTCTGGTAAACTCTGTGTTAATGTGTGACATCAGATTACTGCGTGACTTTGGGCTTTTCTGGATTACAGTGTGGTCATGAAGATTTCTGAGTGCTCTGAACAGAGGCGGCAGTACCACCTGCTGGCGGAAGTCTGTAAACAAAACTTTGTAACACGCTTTCTTGTTTCACTTTCACATTAACAGACTCATGCTCATGACCACACAACACTTAATAATCCAGACATAACTCTGTGAAGGCCCGATGGAGCTAATTATTTTTCCATACTCTTCAAATCCCTCACTGAACCAGCCTCTTGGGACGATGTCTCTATTGAGTTGTTTTTTCTTTGTGATATTCTGAGTGTGAGAGAAAGATCCTTGACCTTCTATAAATTTGTGTCAGCTCTCCTATTAACCTTTCTGTTTGAAATGTTTTCATAGTTGAAGCTTGGAGAAGTGATGCACTCTGACAAAGGTCAGATTCAAGCAGCCAAATGGCCTGTCAGATAACGCCTGTTGGTGGACGCTTATAGACATGTAAACCTTTTCAGGGATTTTGTCAATGTCATTTTCCCAGATGACTGGCAACACGGCAGCAGAGTCAGTACAAGATGTCCTATAATATTTAATCCTTTAAGCTCACTCATCTTATTCTGTTGTATTTAAAAATATGAAAGATATAAATGCATATAAGGAACATTTGTCAGTGTTAACATACTGTGGAGACACATGATGGCAGCACAGGACTTGTTACAATTCTCCTCTTTGAGCTGCACTGAGATAAACAGTCTGCAAGAGTCCACCAGGGTGCACTCAACCCTTAGCACACCAGCCTGGAACAGCTTGAGTCCTAATGTCACTAATGTGATTAAAACACTCTTTGCACACTTTCCAACATAGTTTCTGTGCGTTAATAAAGGGGTAGAGCTGCAGGCCAATTAGCTCAGCGGGTCAGGTTAGCGTGAAGCTCAAAAACAGAAAGAGATTCAGATGCAGCAGTGAAGACTCAAGTCGAGCAGATTTCACTGTATCGAGTGTGGCTGATAAAAATGCAGCGCGCATCATCGACTGTGATATCATTAATTAACAGTTCAGTTTGTGTTGATTTGTTTTACTGGTCTGCATTTATTTTAAGTAACAGCTCAGTGAAGGAAGAATTCATTCTGCAATTCAATGTTGTTGTTATATTTGTTTTTCTCCAGAGCAAGTTCAGCAGACAAACCAGTTTTTAACCAAATGAGCAGCATGACTGTGGATGGTAGCATTGGCCTGTGGCACTTGCAGATATTCACTTCCTCGTTAAGATGAACTTCAACATTTTTGGTGGGTCTTCTACTTCTCCTAGAGTAGCACCTTTGGATTTTAAGCTTTAAAAGTAGATAAAAAGCTAACAGCATTTTCATCAGGCTCTGCTGCACTCTGGTTTCAACAAGTCTAAAATGACTCCATGTTAAAATAGCATTCACTTCAACCCACCACTGTGTGTCGCAGAGCTGCTGCCATGGCTGCAGACTCAAAGTATCTTGATTATTTACCAAAAAAACAACCACCCTCAATTTTTTTCCCATTATGCTGTTATTTTTGTGGTCTGGTCCATGTGTCAGTCAGTGGTAGAAGTGCTATTTGAAGCTTGGAAAACTGCTTCTTTCTCAGACTTATGTTAACAGGAATCGACACACACCCACCAGCAACCGGCAAAACTGAGGTTTTAGAGTGACCACTTGAGGCTGGCTCTAATAGCCACAGAAACTGTATCAGTGTTTATAGTGTATTGCCAATTTTCACAGTAGATCATATATACTCCCAAGCCACTTTATTAGATACACCCCTTTGGACCCCCTTTTGTCTTCAGAACTGCCTGAATACTTTCAACAAGGTGTTGGAAACATTGCTCCGAGATTTTTGTCCATATTAACATAATAGCATCACGCAGGTGTTGCAGATTGGGCGGCTGCACATCCATGATGTGAATCTCTTGTTCCACTACATCCCAAAGGTGCTCTGTTGGATTGAGATTTGGAGACTGTGGAGGCCACTGGAGTACAGTGAACTCAATGAAACCAGTTTAAGATGATTTGAGCTTAGTGACATCGTGCATGATCCTGCTGGAGGTAGCCATCATGAGATGGGTACACTGTGGTCATAAATGGACATGGTCAGCAACAATACCCAGGTAGGCTGTGGTGTTTAAACAAGGTTCAGTTGGTACTAAGGGACCCAAAGTGTGCCAAGAAAATATTCCCCACACCATTAGACCACCACCACCATCCTGCACTATTGACACAAGACAGGGTGGATCCATGCCTTCATGTTGTTTACGATAAACTGACCCACCAAAATGTTTAAATGTTGCAGCTGAAAATCCAGGTAGATCAGCAGTTACTGAAATACGCAGACCAGCTCGCCTGGCACCATCAACCATGCTGCATTCAAAGTCACTTAAATCCCCCTTTGTCCTCATTCTGATGCTCGGTTTGAACCTCAGTAAGTTTTGTTGACCACATCTACATACCTAAATGCACTGAGTTGCTGCCATGTGATTAGCTGATCAGCTATTTGTAACGAGCAATTATACAGGTGTACTTAATAAGTTGGTTAGTTGGCGTTGGTTTTGCATGGCTAGGCTTGTAAAATCTTGTAGTCTCGGGGACATCATCCATTGGTTTGATCCCCTGATGGATATGCCAACTCATATTTTTTTTTTGATGACTGTGTCGGCAAAGAGAAGTAGCTTGGGCGGGATTTTAGCCTTCAAGCTAACACTCAAGACATATCAGAGGTGGCCAGGACATCCGCCCACTTAGGCCATGTTGCACGAATACTCAGCAGTATGTTTTAACTTCATAGTATATTACAGTTTGTTTTGAATGCATAATTTTGACATAATGACAAGAGAAAGTTATTAAAACAAAAACAAACTACACACTAACTTTTGTATTTAGCCCAATGGTGGCCCACAGAGCTGTCAAATATCTGCTTTACAGATTCACACTCACCATGAGTAAAAAGAGTCAACACACACACAAATATTTTCACACTTTTTTCACTCTTACAAGTTATTTCCTGAACAAAGTTTGTTGAAGCTAAGCACAAGTGCTGGCAGTGAATGTGTTCACAAAAATAAAAGCCTGCCAGGGACTCTAATCAGCTTTAAACCAACAGAATAAAAGAACTGAGATAAACAGAGGCCAATAAAATACTTTTTTCCACTTTTTGGTTGTTGTGAAAGTTAGTTATCTCCTCAAAAATCTAAATTGCTCTGCGTCCAAAGGAGAATGAGGTGTTCAACAAAATGGAGCTAATGTGCACAGACATTAGACTGGAGTGTGCTTCGGAGTTTAGGGGAATGGAGAAGATGGGTGAGGACGTTTCAGGATCCGTTAGAGCAGATAAAGGCACAGCCTCAGCTCAGGATCGCCTCAACTAATGATGCTGCCTGTGATTGGCGCCCTTTCCTTCATCTTCCAGCCAATGAGCTACGAGTATCCCGGTGTGGAGGCGTTATCTCACCTAGCCAGCTGGGGGACAGTGACAGAGATGAAAAGAGAGAACGGGGAAAGAGCGCACAGGGAGGAGAGGAGATAGAGGCAGAGATAGGGGAAGAAGAAGTGAGAGAGGGGGAGAGATGGATGGAGGATAAGAGTGCTGCTACAAACAGCCGTACATGTTTGTAATGCACCTTTACAGGTTTCAGGGAGAAATGGTAATCTTACATTTTGATGCCCACAGGAGTGTGTGTGTTAGTGGGTGGTATTTGTGTGTAAATCACATAATTCCTACTGAAATATCTTGACTTTTAGGGAAAGCTTAAGCATTGTTTACTGAGCTTAAGACATCAAAGTAAATATCCTGCATGCATCTTCTTCTCTCTTTTAACTTCACTCCCTCGTCTCCTTGGTGCTTGAGTTTCTCTCAGGGATAAAAACAGAAAGCACTCACACAACTGAAGGCTTGAGTAGATAAATCATCAGTCCTTAAACACACATATCAGGGAATGAAACGAAGAAATGAGTGACAACAAAAACAAACTTATGCATTTGTCTAAACAGAAAGCAGGAAGGGTTTGGAAGAAGTTTATTCTCACAGCAGTAAGAACAATAAGGTGCTAAATGATGTTACATTACGTATTCACACATGAACCAAACTCTTGAAAACGGCCGAAAATTTTAGGATGAGTTGCGCACTTGAATGCAAACTGCTAGCCTAGTGCATATTTCTGCAAGAAGTCGGGGTTAACCGATGTGAGAATGCTGATTTCTTGGCTAAAGACAGTTTATTTAGGGCCACATTAAGAAAAAAATAAGACTTGGAGAAAAAAGTCATTACTTACAAGAATAAAGTCGTAATAAAGTAATTACTTATGAGAATAAAAACAGAATAAAGTCCTTATATTCTAACCTGTTGTTAAAGATGACAGTTGTTGAAATGAGAGCCATGGAGCAATTCGTGAAAATGTACTTTAATATAGGTTTCCTAAACAATGAGATGATTAATCTTTTGGCACATCAGCACCAAATTATCATAAGTATCGTAATGATTTCATTATGACTTTATTCTCATAAGTAAAGCTTTTATTATGACTTTATTCTCGGGAGTAATGACTTTATTCTCGTAAATTAATGGCTGTAATCTGTAAGTCTTATTTATTTATTTATTTTTTATGTGGCCCTTATACTCTGTTGTAATTTACACAACACACAGTATTATTGTATTTTAAATTCTGACCTGTGCTGGGACAATTAAAGTATTCTGATTGATTGATTAATTGTTTTCAGTACCTTTAATGTGATTTAAAAAAAATAAAGTGTAACTCAACTGGATCCTAAACTGCAGCAGCATACCAAGAACTCCTTTAGCCCTCTGTCAGGACACACTGTTAGACACACATGGCAAAAATGAGTCTTTAGGGCTTCACAGGTTTATTCCAGATGAATTATAATACATACATTATGGGTAAGAAAATTTAGGATGCCCTTATAATTAAGGAGATGCTGGTGATTTAGTCCACAGGTGGGCAAAGCAGTTCAGCCTGCAAGAGCACACAGAGGATGAGTTAGGGCTTCAGGATTTATGATGAACTTAAGTCCCCCATGGTGAGCAGAATTTAAAGAGAGATTAAAAAGATGCATGAATGAATAAAACATCACCATAGTCAATGGACACAGCAGAAACAAGTCTGTATTTGCAACAAAAGAAAATCACAATTAATTTTTGAAACAAGAGCCAGTATTGAACCACGCTGTATTTAATCATTGTCTTTGCAAAAGTTCTGTCTCTACTTCTGATCCAGTGCAGTCACAGAAGATTTTCCAATTTGTGCTCACAATTCAGGACAGACCAAATTTACACCCTGGTGTGTTTCACAAGATAAGCATGTTGTTTGTGTGATTTGATTTGGAGTCTTAAACTCGTCCACTCTTCCTTGACTGCATGTTTCTGGCATCAGTTGCTGTATAATTTGAAGAATAGTTTATATATTTGTAGTTTTTCTGGCATCAACTGCCCTGACAAATGCTGAAATATTTCTAACTTTAACAGTTAAAGGACATGCAAATGAACAGAAGAGGGAGCTGAAATGACACTGATACAACGCCAACTAATAACACAAAACACAGGCAACAGAGAGGTCTGCCACATGAGCTCTGGACTGCTGCTACACACATTAATAGAGGAGTGGGAAAGAAAACCTCCTGAGGGATTGACTGCCACCTTCAACCAACTACTTCACTTAAGAATACGCTTGTCTCACCTCTTTGGGAGACAATGAAGGTAAAGCGGAGCAAGTCCTAGAAAGAGTCCGCTCCCTTCTTTACAGATAGTTGGAAAATTCAAACATATAGGGAAAACTTTAAAAGTACAGTACAGTCTCCAGGTACAAAGATGTGACTCTGCAAGTGTTGCAGGCTTAACTAGCCAGGAGCGAGAGCTGTCCATGAACATCTAAGTCACAAAGTTTTAAAGTACTGTTTCTGGTTTTGCTGAATTCATCACGAAATCTGCAGTTGAAGGACTGAAAACTCATCTGAAATTCATCTGGATCTCTCCACTGCATGAATCTTTAATGCTTTCTATATGTGTCACTTTTTTCCTCTGTATTTGGCTAAAAGCAGATTTTAGATATTTACACCCTAAAGCCCAGCAAAGTGATATTTGTGGAAATAGAAACAGAAATTGACACAAGAACGCTGTTTAGTGAGTGCATCCGTAGTCTTTTAATGTTCATTAGCTTTTGCGCTCTCATATTTTGCACCTAAGGACTTAAGTTTGGGGAGATCTCTTCAGGGGAAAAACACCAACTGGTTTTATTATTCTTTTGGGTTCAGCGGCTGCTCACATCAACATTTCTCAAACCTCTGAATCCTTTCCTAAAAGAAGCCCTCCACTGTGCCTTATGGTCTTTAAACTCAATCAGATATCTTGTTATTTTTTGAGACTGACAGCTCTCATCATGCAGACAGTAGCTCAGCATGTGCTTTAAGGCGAGCAGTTCAGCTGAAAGTTTGACATTTCGAAAACAGAAAAGAAGTCAAATATTACTCAGAACTTTTCTACTGCAAAATAGAAAAATATAAAAAACCTCCTGAACAAAGAAACAAAAGCATTGCACACAAAGAACTAAATCTAGACAAATACATTTATTTCTAAAGGCCCTGTAATCATTTAGTTTAAGTGTACAACCCTTTTGTTATTTAATGCCGCTAAAAGCATTTATTTTCACTTTCTACAAATCAATCAGAAAATGCACTTTGTTCCCCTCTGCTGTACTATTGAACTTCACTCTGTCAATAACAGACCTTATACAGTAAGTGGAATATTACTGATTTACTGTAACATTCAGATAAAAGCTGTGTGGGCTGAGTGACTCATGGTAGCTTTCAAAGCCAGCGTTATTTGTCAAAGGAGCACTGAGTTATTTTTAACAAACTGTCCAACTGTCTAGTAGGGACCAAGGGCTGCTAACCGTCTCTGGTGCACTTTAAATGGATGGAAATAGAACAAGGTTGCTGACTAATTCGAGACCCAACAGAGGGGAAGTTTGAAATAGACCACTTTAAGCACTGTCTCCTGACTTTGATTGCTTTTAAATGTAATTCCTGGCTGTACAGGGGAAAAAAAAGACAAAAACATGATTAAAACTCCTTTGACAAGTCTTTTGAATCATCACAGCACAGTCTGACTTTTGTTTGATTCAGCTGTGATAAATTGGTATGAGTCTGTCAACTCTGTCACCCTGTGTTTCAGAGCTTTGTAAACAAGAGATCAATACAGAGGTCGACCCCGGGATGTGAAGTGTGGAGGTCAGCCGGTAAATGTGGTGCAAAGGCAGCAAAGACAAGGACAGAATACACAAAGGTAAAAAAAACAACAACAACAAAAAAAAAAAAAAAAAACACATCTGCATCACATTTTTTTTTTACATTGGGAGTTAAAAGGAGCCTTTCAATTTAAAAGCGATTAGACTGGGAAGTAGGTATTTTATAATGATATGATTAATATGATTTTAATATGATTTTTGTGTATTCATGTGTTCAACAAAGAGAAAATACAAAACGGGATGACCTCTTCAAATAAACTGGAGCATGTGAGAAAAAATGTCACCTCGGGTCCTCACAGTGGAGGTGGGTCCCGACAGTGGAGGTCTGCAGCCAGACTGTCTTCGAGAAAGGACTACACACACTGTTTTACTGTTTTAGTTTGTTTTGCTCTTCAATCAAAGCCTATACAAAAAGATGAATGATCATAGACTGATTAAACATGGTTGTAGTCTCAGTGACATCACACACTCATTTCTGGTAGTCACCATATTGGGAATATACTACTATATACTACTCCAACTAGTGTGTAGCTAATTTAGAGTAAGACATGGAGGTAGAAATCAGGCTATAGCTTCATCACCTGGCAAACAACTAAAATGCACCTGTCAGTCAAATTAGCCACGCTCCTTATGATGCCTCATTATAACTATCATTAGTAGTTATGCATAACTCTCAGCCTTAGTTACCTATTTAAAGTATTTATTTATTTATTTTTTTAATTTAAAGTTACCTATTTAAAGCTCTTGTGAGGAAATTTTGATTTGTGTCAAGAATGGCGCCCCTCTGTGGACAAATTAGTCTTTGTCTATCTCGTTATCTTCATGCTTCTTTCGTGTCTTGAAACAAAAAAAAAAACATCTCAGCCAGCTGTCTTTTGACAGTCAAATTGATCAGTTATTGTGATTATTGTGTGTGAAATTTGTAAGAACATGACTCTTTCGTTAGCTGCTTAGCCGACACCTGCCCAATTGCACCAATTTCAGGCATTAAAACTGACAAAATGTAAAACATCAATCTTGTTGCTGATGGTCTTGTTCGCTTTTGGATACCATGAAAAGGCATTGGTATGAATTTTAGTTTATCTCATAAACATAAAAACTTCTTACATTTGCTGTAATGCCATAATAAGCTGCCAAATGCCATGATTGACAGCTCTGTGTGCAGTGCTCTGTTAACCCAAGAGTGATTGTCCCGTTTGTTTCTTACCAGCAAGTAAAAAGTGTGTTCAGATCATCAGTACTATGGGTCTGAGAGACACTCTGTACTGGTCAGACTCTTGGCTTCATTGGCATCACCAGCCCAAGATGTGAGGGCTGCTTTGGCTTCATCTTTGTACCACAAAACAGTCAGGCTCTCGTTGTTATGTGGCGTCAAATGACAGCTTGTGTCTGTATGTTTTTGCATATATTCATCTTCTACATCCACACTACTCACGTGACCTTCGGAGTCGTCTCAATTGGGTTAATCGGCCTTGAAAACAAACTGGAGGAAAAAGGAACAGTGGGCGAGGAGCGGGAAGAAGCAGCCTTTGTTTACACACCTTTCTGCAGCAACAGCAACAAAACAAACCTGGTTTGGTTTTGTTGTTGCAGCTCCACACCGTGTGGATACGTGGTGACATCTGTTCAGGAATCCCTGCTCATACACCTGAAAGGCTTTGGCGCTCATCTGAAATAGAGAGATTAATAAATGTCCTCTGACTGCTTTGTGATTAAAAAAAAGACACGCCAGATGTGTGTGTGTGTGCATGCATCCCCATTGCCACAATATGCTGTGCGTTATCTCCACACAGCCACCTGTTTATATGAAGGGAGTCAACAAACGTCATATGAATTCCAATAAAGCGCACCCTCAGAGTGCACACACTTCATTATCATGGAGCTAGAGACTGTTCACTGTAATCTAAATCCCTTATTTAAAAACTGTGTGTGTGTGTGTAAGAGAGACAGGAGGACAGCAGTGAGGGGGGAGATTAAAACTGACATATTTTAGTGGTTTTAGGGGCAGTGTGCAGAGAGGGGTTAAGATAGTGGGTCCTTGATGTGAGCACAGGATTGATTGCTGGGTTAATTAGCGAGAACCGTGCTCGTCATTGAAGTGAAGGGTAGATCAGAGGTTTGTCAGATTGAGGGAAAAACACTGACAGGACACTTCAATTCGAGTCCTGGACTTGTGGTCGTGGTCTTCTCTTAAAAGCCCTCCTGTATGTGGGACACCTGTGTCATTTCAGCAGCTGTCTGAAGTTTAACAACATTTTCCACAAAAAAAGGACAAGTCTGTTCATCTGCACTCAAAATAGTTGTAGATTCACCTCACGTGCTGCTCCCATTTTCTGTACGGAAATAAGACTTTTCAAACTGTTGAGAATTAAAGCCGCTAATCCCAGGGATTAATACAATTGAGTTTGCTGGATTTTGGTAATGCCCTGCTTCCTAAGCTTTGCCCATTAGGCACCTGCTGCTGTCACACTCGGCTGCCCTCGCAGGAAATTGCCTGGTTTTACGAGCGAGGGCGTTTGAAATGCAACACAGAAAAACCGTTCAAACACTCGGACGCCGAACAAAGACAGAAGGTGAATTTTTGCTGTTCTTGTCCTTCGGCTTCATGAGACCAATTACCAGTTCCAGTGTGTGTTTGTCTGCGTGTGTGCGTGAATCCGTCACTGTGTGTCTGCAGGCAGGTGCGTCAGCAGACCCTGACAGTCAGATTTCATGCACCACAGGCTGTGTTACAAACATTCACACTCAGTCTTGGAGTAGAGACGATGATTGGCCCTGCGGCTTCTCCACGAAGCTTTCGCAAACATTTGATGATTTCGAGGAACCTATTGCGAGGGGGGGCCTCTGGCCAAAGATTAGCATGCCTCCTCACCTCACCTCCTTATAGCATCAGAAACAGCTACAGGGATTGTGCTGGCTGTCAGTTTAGATCCTGTTAGCATGGTGGGACAGAGACTAACTCACCAGGTAACAGAAGCTCAGATTGATTTTTAGACATTACTTAAAGGGATATTCAGGCGTAAAATTAAGTTAGGGTCAAACGCACTGTAACACCAAGTTAGATATCCCGTCGAGAGATGAATGTTGCTCACTGCTTGCTTCTCTAGTGTAGCAATCAAGACAACCCTGTGGGTGAAACTCACACATTCCTTGCAGGAAAGGTTTCTTATCTGGTCCCAGGACACAGTTTCAGACTTGTTTGCCCTTTCAGGTTACCTAACTGACCCCACCGGAGGTTGACTGAAATCTCTGGCATGATTGGTCAATTCGGAGAACAGAGACAGAGTTTTATTACCTTTCAAACTGACTCCACCGCTGACCATCTAAATAATCATTCATGACTCAATCCAGGTCTCCCATTTAAGATTTACTGTCTTAGAATGTGTGAACACACAGACCTCAAGAAAAGGTCTGAGGAGCAGCACACTGACCTCCAGACCTCGGTCGTAAAATCTTGCTCAACCATACTCTGATAAGAGCTGCATACCTTTGGAGAAAGAATACAAATGACTGATAATGACATCTTATGCATTCAGCAATGTACTAATCTGTCTAATCATGAAATTTGTGTTAAAATGAGATGTTTCCCGTTTTTCTATGTGTTCCAGACGCCAAGTTATCACTCTGACAGAATAAATCCTTTATTCTTAAGTTTCTTTAGTCCAACAGCTTGGACTGTTTGTCCAACAGTTTGCCTGAGACCAAACACAACTCACCTACTCTCTTCCAGCAGCCGTTTGTTTGTACGGAGACCCCAGATGAGTCTATTACCGACTGCATTGGGGTGACGCAGCTCAAGGAAGAACATTTATGATTATTACTTCATGGAAATGCAATCAGACCAAGACGCTAAGGCAGAGGAACTACCGTGTCTGCAGTGCAAAATGATTAATATGGTGATTATTACTTCAAGAAAATGATAAAGTAATGATCACAAATGTTCTTCCTTGAGCTGTGTCACCCTGCAGCAGTCCGTAATGAACTGGCCTGAGGTCTCCCTACAAACAAGCGGCTGCTGGAAGAGAGTGGGTGAGTTGTGTTTAGTCCCTTTGCTAAAGATATCAGGCAAAGCTTAAAGATGTTTGGTGGCTAGTGCCATGACTGGGACCCTATATGTGCTGTTGATGAAGTTAGGTGCTGTTCTGAGCATCATTTATAGCTATAGAGTGGCTTTTTGGTTGAGCGCATGGCTCCCGACACCACTGTGTATTGCTATTGTGCGGTTGTTACTAAAGGTGGTATAACTAGAGAAGCAAGCGGTCGTTAACATTCATCTCTCGACAGGGTGTCTAACTTGGTGTTACAGTGTTTTGGACCCTAACTTAATTTTACGTCTGAATATTCCTTTAACAATTGGATACAAGGATACCACATGTTGCTCCTTTTCCTTGTAGCCCTCACTGAACCCTTTTTAAGAAAGAGCATGGACTTGCTCATGTATGTTTGTTTGTTCTCTGTGTGGGGACATTTTCATCCTGCTTTTAAAATGAACGAGTTTCAGATGAAATAACAGAGGCTGCCTTCAAACAAACAAGTATAAAGAGGGGGCCAATAGAGATTTTGCAGTGGCAAGGACACAGTTTTATTCATACAAGGCTGTGTCAAGCACAGCCAACACCACTGGAGCACAGACTTGTTTCAGCTGTCACGCTCTGCACAATGTAGCAGCAGAGGTAAACAGCAGCAGCATTTAAATACAAATGCAATTTTATGGGTGTGCAGGGATTTTTGATGTGAAGATTCCTCTAGTATCAGCCCAAACTTTAATTTATACTGAGGCGGAAGGCAGAGAAAATCAAGGTTTGCTAGATGTTGACTCTTCAGATGATCCATGTACATTCATTACACTCTTCAAATATTTCCTCATGGTCTACCACTTACTATTGCACTGTATAAAAAATCCTCCCAAGACAAACAGCCAGAGTTTGCACTGCTGTGTCATACAAGGTGCTGCGTCAGTCTACAGTCTACAGTCTTTAGTCTGTAACCAGCTGGTTCCCCAAGTATGAATAAGATTTAAAGCCAAGCTGCAGAGAGCACAACACTCAGCTACTCATTGCTCAGTGACTACAACTACAGAAACCAATTTTCTAGCCCCTGCTAATGCCAGAAACTATAACAACTTATACTGTATTGGTAATATCCTGTCAAAATGAGTTAAATAAAAAATCCTGGCATTACAAGTACCATTAATAGTCGAGTTTTAGGAATTAGCAACCAGTATATGAGGAAATCAGGTGCACTGGACTGAGGGGAACAAGGTTATTGAGTATGCACGGTTGTCATAACCTTTACTTATGATGAGGATTACCTTTAGGATGAATGGTTTTTGTCTGCATGATGACTCATGGTTTGACATCACATCTGCCTGAGAACTGTTACTACTGTGAAAAAGTAAGCATGAGTAGACTTGATCTACCTGTGCTAACAGATGCAAACAGTGTACCCTTACGGTTCTATAGGTAATGCATCGTATTCAGGGCTCGACAGTGCGACCATTTCACTTGCATTTGTGACTAAAAATAAATGTGTGCGAATTGTATAATGTATTTAGGGGTACATGTGCGCATTAAAAAAACTCGCTGAGGCAACAAAAGTTTTTTCATGTAAATACCATGGTGAAGTTAGTTTTAGGTTAGATATTAGATGGACATTCACTGTGGAGCTACCAGTGTCTTCCCACTCTTCATAACCAGTTATAGCAACAGCAGCGTGGTTAAATCTACTCGGCACCCTCGCATTCAACGTCCGGTGTTGAATAAGGGACCATCAATAAATTACCGGTTGATGTTCTCAGAAAAGGCTGTTTTCCTTTAATAGCTTCCATGTCATGTGACCCATTGACCTAAAATTATTTTCAAATAATAGTACTAATGTCGACCAATAAGACACACCTCTTTTTTTCCTTAATTTGTCCTCATAATTTTTTGTGTTAAATTTAAAGGCAAATTTTGAACATTTTCTTCAATAGCTTCCATGTCATGTGACCAGAAGATCTAAAATTAATTTCAAATAATAGTATTTACATCAACCAATAAGAGCCCTGGTATTGTAAAACAACACTTCTAAGGTCTTGTACATTTAACACCTGTGAGGGAAATGCATCACCCAACTACACATACAAATGTATCCTCACTTCTTCAAGGCCAATAAAAATCAACAGATGAAAGACTCCAAACATGAGTTTTAAGTGCTGGACAAGCTGAAGTGCATCACTACCAGCGCTTCTCCTCTCGAAACAGCCTGACACAGGATACACATATCATACACACACTTTGCTTATTCCCTCACACCTGAACCCATACGTACATAAATAGGCCAGAACAAGTTGCCATTTCTCCCATGGTTTCCTCTCATTGTGCTCTGCCATTATAATATCCAGCCACTTCATTAAATCTATGTTGATGCCTCTACTGACCCCGTTCTTGTTCCCCCAACTCTCCCCCTTCCCCACCATCATTTCCATGTACGGTGCCCTCAGGGAGGAAAAGGAGTAATTAGCATGCTGATACACAAGCCACTCGTGTTGCCATAACTAGTTAAAAAGCTATTTCCACCTCTTGCTACGTTGGCTGAGCCCTGAAGAAGCCTTTGTGGTGCGCGTGTGTGGGGGTGTATGTGCACGTGTGTGTGTGCTCCAGTGTGTCTCATAATGAGGCTGACGTATCACAGCAGTACATACTGTTCTTGTCACATTGAAAGGTATAACGCTGATGACAGATGCTCGCACTATGTGGTCTAGCACTGACTCAGTCTCTAATACGTGTCTGTCTGTCTTTTAGTCTCTCTCTTCATGGGTGCGTGGGGTTGCATGGTTACATAAGAATGCACACACAGATTCCTGGGATCTGTTCGTTTGTGTGAGAAAAAGGAGCGAGGGAGCGTTACCATGACGATGGCATTAGAAACCAACCTTACATCAAACCATGTGTATATTTGTGCCTTTCTCTGGTGCTCTTTTATTTTTTGAGTGAGTGCGCCTGCTTTCAGACTGTTGCTTTAGAGACAAACTGGAGGAATACAGGCCCCTAGTGCAAAAACGAAGGAGAGGAGGAAATTCATGCTGAGGGGAAGTGTTGGAGCACAGAGGACAGATCTGCTGGTCAAAAATGAAACTTGGAAAAGGCAGGACAGGGAGGAAAAACGAGGATGCACGGGGAGTTAATTAGAGGGAGGAAGAAGCTGATTGTGGACCCAGATGTTTCCAAATTATCTGTTGACAACCCCCTCCTCATCTCTCCCTCTCCTTCATGCCTTCAAATTTGTCGTTTTGCCAATACTGAGAGCAGCTCGTGCACCTCTGCCAAAGCTATGAGTAAGCCGTGTGTGGGCTTCTGCATGTGCCTGTTGGAGTGTGCTTGCCTGTGAGTGTGCTGGAGAGTGTTTGCATATATTTTGACCAGACCTCCTCTGATGATCTGATTATTGGTTGGTTTTGTTAGGGCTCAAATCCATGTGTGACTCTCAACGTGGTTCACCTGCTCCTCCATGACAGTTAGTTAAAGTCAAGAGTTCCCTTTGACTGTTGGGTTAAAAAAAAGAGGCTACTTAAAATGCTCTTGAAATGTTTTGGCAACCTCCAGATAATTACCTGGACAAAATATCAACCATGATTGGATACAATAATATCACAGATGATGACCATCAGATAAATGCTGCATGTCAGGACATCACAAGTGATCAGTACAGCCAGGGAATGGGTACCTAGATTCCAGCAGGATCAGCACATCTCATTAGCTACATAGATCTTACCAAAAAAATACAAGGAAATAATGAGGACTGTATTCCCTCTTTATCGAGAATGAAAAATATACTGTGGTTGGAAAACTTTCCAAAGCAAAAGCCCAATCTTTTTTTTTTTTTTTTTTCTGTGGAGAAACTCCCTGTTTTCACACAGTGCTTTTATTCTGAAGTTGTGTCTTGGACAGTTGTTTGGTGGGGAAAGCTCTTCATTTGAGTTTGCAGAAAACTCTGCTGGGAAAACAGTTGTCATTATTCGCATTTGTTGCAGGTAAGCTATTTTAATTTTCTAATAACATCAGAAAATATTTAGCCTTTTGCATCTCCCTCTGTGCCCCTTTATAGCTAAACTAGTGTCAATGTGTGAAACTAAAACCCATTTATAAATCTCAGACAGCTGTTTAAAACCCCAAAGCATTTCCTGATATGAATGAAACGGACAGATAAGTTGGTATGATCCCTCTTTCCTCCTGTGCAGGAATTAAAACCATGCTCATAATGAAATAATGCCAAGCTCTGTAAATTTAAATGAACAAATATACTCATGAAATATTAGAATTAAAACCTGTATAGAAAAAAAAGGTTAGAGATAGGATGTCAGGATTCACTTTTCTAAATCCAAATCAGTTAGAATTGGCTCCCAGTTTGCTGCATGCACAGAGTAAACAGATAAGGGACCATGTGTTCAAGATTACTTTGAATAAAGGATTACCGTTTTTGCTTCAGGGAGAAATACTGGAACCTTATACAGTCAGGGCAAAAGTTGCACAAATGTGAAGGAACGTTTAAGTCTTTCTTTGCCCACTGGCAATCTTAATAACATAAAGGGCTCTATTTTCGTTCGCGCCGGTGAGGCGGCGGAGGGCGGCGAGCCCCACGCAGTTGTATTTTCGTCTGGCGGAGCCCGGCGTAAGGCGAGTTTGGTATTTTCGTGGACTGAGTCGCACGGAGGCGAGCCGAGATCCGCCAAGCTGGGCGTGGTGGCGTGGCAGGGGGAGGTGTTGACAGAATCAGCTGGCGCAGTGACATTTTCGTGCTCGCCACCGGCGTGTAACGTGCGCTGAAAGCTCGCCGATTCAAACCTGGTCAGCTTTCAGCGCAAGGCGGAACGCAGCTGGTCTAGTAGTATTTTGGTAGACCAGCGGCGTATCGACATACGTCACTGATGCCTCACCGGCAGGTTTCCACAGTGTCAGGCACATTTCAGTGCAATAGATAATCATCAACAACTATTAATCTGAGTCAGCACATACATTTAGATCTATATCGATATATTCTGATCTATATCTGATCTGATGAGCGCGTTTGGCACGCGTTTGGGCACACAACCTGACTGAATCAATACAGCTGAAACTGCATCAAATTAAATTAAATATCTAGTAAATATTCACACATGATGAAGTTAACAAGATATGTAATGTGTCTCCCTCCTTTTCTTTCCTCCTCTTATTTCTCGCACAGCTCGACCTGGACACGTCTCCGTGTCCTCTGTCCGTCTTGCTTGCTGCTGCGGCTGAACAGATGATTTGTTTCAGTGCTCAGATGCGTTATCTACTTTAAGCCGACATACGGATATTATAATATTCAGTTTTGTGGGCCAAATTTATTTTATATGCCAACATCTATGAAAGAAAGAGCCAGGTCACGGAGCGCGATGCGTCATTTACGCACAGATGGTTCCGATTTTATTGCCATTTTTGGAGTTTATGTTGTGATCTGTGCGCTAAACCCACCTTTGTCACGTGAGGTTTGAATATATGCAACTTTATGTGAGTGTCTTTATTTGTGGAAAAGGGTGTTTGTCTTACCAGTGGGTCCAACATTACACACACCAAATCCATCTGTGCTCAGATGAGAGAGTGTGGAGGACACTTGTTGAGCAGCTGCCCTCTGTCGCCATCGTGTGGCATAACTGTCTTCAGACATCTCTCGATCTCTTTGACTACTTCATGAAAATAGTGATACGCCTCGCCGGTGGCGGATTTAAAGGCAAGGAGAGGAGCTTATGTGATTGGTGAAAACAGGTCTCGGCTGTGTTAAATCTACTACACGCCCTCTCTCCTCCCCGTCTACGACTTATGCTGCTGGGAGGAGCTGAGTTAGGGAGGGGGGGATACTTACGCCGGGCTGCGCGGCTCACCAAAATACCAAAATGTGCTTGGGAACGCCTTGTCAGCGCGGCAGATCTGATTGACGCTGCGCTTGCGGCAGATCTCCGGCGAGGCACCAAAATAGAGCCCAAAGTGTGAATAGATAAACACAGTTCACAGGAGAACACCAGAGTGCAAGAGTCTACTATTAGGCTCACAAGACCGATATGTGGTTCAGTACTCAAATTCATAACAAACAAATGGAGACTGAACAGGTGAATTCTGGTATGACAATCTGTCTAAAGTTTAGTCCTCTGCACAAAAGTCAGACAAATTTTAGCCCCTGATTCTCAACTTTCAACACCCCGGATCGCAAATCGAATACACTAGTTGAGAGGAGTGAATATCGGCGTAGATTTAGGCTTTTATGAAATATGCATAGACAAGGTAAATAAATAAATAAAAATGTAAGTGTAAATTTCTGCTATAATATGACTGTCCTAATGTTTGCCTGCAGTTTGCATGTCTCACCCAGTTCCAGTATTTTCATCTTTCCTTTTAGCTAAAGAATATATATTTTTATATTGATTCTAAATATCTAACATATAATATAAGTAACCTTGCAGATGCCTTCCATCTGACAATAAAAAAAGCTTTCAAACAGCAGTTTAGAGCTTTATTACACTGGATGAATGGTGTGAACACTTGGCCATTATGCCTAGGGCTTCATCCGATTAGTCTGCATAATGAGAGTGAATGCATGTCACATCTATATGAAATGTTTTTATTTATTTATTTTTTAAATACATTGGGTATCACACAGTCTTTGTAATGTGTAGGTTGCACATTTTCATGTCAGGATGACATGTATGACCCCAATTTCATGTACACAAAAGTAAGTCATCAGTAAAGACCTGGCGGCAGCTCCTCTGAGAGCTGGAGGATCATTTCAACAGGGGCGTGGGTGATAATACACAAAACTCATTGAAGTCACATGGGACTCATGTGACAGAGTCATCAGATTCACATGAATAGAGGTGTGAATGGTTGTGAAACTGCCAGAAGGGCATAGCCAATTTATTTCTCATTGCTATGGATAAGCCTACAGTGATAATGTATGCTTTGTTATTGTGAATGACTATTTGCTAAAGGTTTTTTTACTGTGATTGTGCGATTATCCCTGTGAATCGTGATCCCAAAAAGTAGCTTTCCAGACGTCTTCTCTTTACTCAGGAGTTTTGTCACTCCTGTGTTTCATAAGAGGTTGCTCTTGTTTTGAGTTTTATTCGACTCCAACAGGGCTTCGTCCTGATCTCATCAACCAACCGCTGTTTGCTTCTGTTTCCTACATCTGGGAGCTGAATGTTTATTTTCTTACTCAGTTTACAATGGTGTTAAAACAAACATTTGCTGCTGACACCACCGAGGTGTATCATGTGATAGAACTCCACCAAATGTCTTTGGCCTTGTTGTTTTAAGTTACGCATATTTCCTTTTTTTTCCTATACAAAAAAAAACAAAGTTTTTCACACAAATATGACCGATGGCTGATCCTCATTCGACTTGATGGCAGAGCAGCAAAACTCAAGTGCTGCTGCATGTTTCCTATTTCTACCCAAGAATAAGAACAGTTTAATGTAAACTTATTGATTGGCCATAAGTTGCAAAAATGATGGATGTCCAGCTTGCTCCTTAAGAGTGCAACCAAAGCATTTTGGGCTGCCCCTAATGACTGGATGCAGTGTATGGCATAAAATTTACCTCCTGCATGTAAAAAGATAGGACATGAGTCAAACTGTAAAATTAAAATAAACATTAACACATTTTTTTTTTGCCTCTAATGTGGTGTTTGTCATTTTATCACCTGACTGTGGTGGATATTTAGGCACCCACACATCCAGGCTTTACAGCAAGTCCTGTTTGACATAATCATAATCCAATGTTGAAATCAATGTGGAGATCAGAACGATGAAAGCTAATTCAACCATGGTGACACAGGATTGCATTCTGACATGTTCAAGGTTGGGCCGGTAAAGCATAAATTCAGCAAAGGTTAATAATATTTTTTTAAAAAAAAGGTTGAAGGTGGAAAAGCTGTACAGATGCAAAACCTGTGAGGGTTAAGTTGTTGTTACTGATTTATTTTTACAACTCCAAGTTAAATGGTGAAGGATTTACATCGCTTGTACTTGAAATTGTGTTTCTAGTGTTCAGAACCAGTCACTCGTTCAGAAATAAAAGCAATCCGGATCTGTTAAAAAAAAATGTGAATTGTTCTTTACACCAAGACTCAATTAGGACCCAAATCATTAAGAACTCGCTATAACAGTATCGGTATTAGTGATTTTCTCCATCCTTATTAACAGTGCATAGCTGCATGTTTTAAAATCACCAAGAGGCTCATATCTGTATGGCCCCATATAAATTCCCCCCGATACACATACCTTTCGACTATCTTCTTTGCTTTCACCCAGCTACATCTTACTGTAGTCTATCAAATGCTCTTTTTTATTAGCTCCTCCTGTTCACAACACTCTTCAGAGACTGACAACCTACCTACATCCTTTCAGTACAGCTGAAAAGAAGTATAGCTTCAACAAAACTTCTATGTTCCTACCAGCACTCCTGATTCTATCTTTTATCGCTGAGGGTCACCACATCATTTACCTGTGAGGAAAAATACCAGATGCTAGTCATGAATCTGACACAAATCTGGGTGCCAATGATGCGACAGGATGACATCTGTGCTCCTGCTGCGTGAAAAGAACCAAAAATGACCTATCCGAGCCCCCTGAGGACAGCAAGTAAAGATGGATAAATTGATAGAGTTGGATCAGAACAGCAAAAAGCGTTGGAAAGGAAGCGTGTGTGTGGTTGTGTTTATAAATGTGCATGTGTGTGTTCTAAAAGTGCTCCACCTGTCATTCAAGCTTTAGGGGTTTATCTGCGGGAGCAAGGGCACCTGGCTTAGCTTGGCTTTGCTGTGGGGACGGCAGATATCTGTGTGTACACTCGCAGAAGATGTGACAGCAGGTATCCACTAGAGGGGAGAGATATGACACCGTGTCATTATGTGTGATGCATAAAACATTCACAGCAATAAGCTCCCCGTTTTATATTTGCCTCTGTTTTGTTCTCTGTGAACACTATGCACAGACAGAGACACACCGGCACACATAAACAGTGCAGGAGCAGCGGGCTGCAGGGGTAGATAGAATAGAGCGGGGATGCATGTGTTGGCCTTGGTCAGTTATCGCCTAGCAGTCAATGCAACACATGATGACTCCCCAAGAGGCTTGAAATTACTAGCATACTCATATGAAGTGA